AACATCAGAGCTGGGCAGGTGCAAGGATTTTTAGCTACACAGGTGCCGCCCCCTCCTCGTTCCCCCAAAATGCATCTTTACCTGTGTCCCTTAATCCCCCTCTTGCATTTCTTACCCCCCCTTTTATGTATCTCTTTCTCTCCTTCTCCATCCCCTTTATGTCTTTTTATCCTACCAGCCTCTCTATGTCAGTTCCCCCAACACCTTGTCTCTTTCTTCCTACAGACCCTCTATGTCTCTTTGTCCTTTCCCCTTCCCTCTGTATCTCATTCTCCCCTTCCCAGACTCTGTGTCTCTTTCTCCCCTTCCTAGCCCCTCAGTTTGTCTCTTTCTCCTCTAGCCTCTCTATGTCTATTTGTGCCCCCTCAGATCCCCCATGTGTCTCATTCCCCCTGCTCCTCTAATGTATTTCATTCCCCCAGCCCCCATGTGTCTCTTTCCTCCATCCCCCCCTCCTCTATGTGTCTTACACCCTTTCACTCCTGTATAGCACGGACAAGGGGTAGAGGAGCTTTAGGAACCGCTCCCCAGTTTGACAGGAACCAGTTGGCGATCTCTTCATGCACTTCCTGTCAGACGCCTGTGCTGTCAGCCAGCCTTGCATCTGAGGTTTTACTGATGTGATACTCCCAAATTCCCTTCTTCTACTATCTCCTATTTCTTCTGAGTAAAAGAGACTCCGGCCTGGGTTGTTTGAGCTGCCTTATTGACTTGCCAGTACTTCTCAAGTTCTGAACCATACTTTCTGGTAGTATTTGCTGTTAAAACTCTTGCTTATGGCCTGTACCTGATCCCACTTGCTGCAAGCAGGCCCGGACTGGCCATCGGGCACACCGGGCAAATGCCCGGTGGGCCGCGGTGGCCATGGGCCGAGGCCGTCAGGGGAGGTCCCAGGATCTCCCCTGCCGGTCTATGCAGGGCCGGCACTATCCGAGCGCCGGCCCCGCTGTTTTCCATGGAGAGCCGGTGGGGAGATCAAACATCTCCCTCACCGGCCCACATGCTGTCAGATCTGGCCGCCGGCGGGGAGAAAGGGAGACAGACAGCCGCCAGGAGAGGAGGACCCGGCGGAGCTCTAACTTGCAACTCCGCCGGGTTCCTCTCGCGAGATCCGGCGCGTTGCCATGGCAATGCGCCGGATCTCGCGAGAGTGAACTCTAGCCCCACAGGCTAGAGTTCACTCACCCACGAGGACCACCAGGGAACACTGCCTCCCAGGTGCCAGCGTGCCAGTCCCCCCCTCCCAGGCTAAAGGTAAGAAGGGAGGGGGGGATTTAATGCCTGTTTTTGTTTTTTTGCCTCCCCCCCACACACACACAATCCATTCTAACATTTATACAGCACTCTCACACCCATCACACACAGCACTCTCTCACAGCACTCTCACATCCATCACACACAGCACTCTCTCACAGCACTCTCACACCCATCACACACAGCACTCTCACACACATCACTCACAGCACTCTCACTCACAGCACTCTCACACCCATCACACACAGCACTCTCACACCCATCACACCCAGCACTCTCACACACAGCACTCTCACACCCATCACACACAGCACTCCTCACACACACCACTCACAGCACTCTCACTCCGCACTCTCTACAGCACTCTCACACCCATCACACACAGCACTCTCACACCCATCACACACAGCACTCTCACACATTACACACAGCACTCTCTCACACAGCACTCTCCCACACCCATCACACACAGCACTCTCCCACACCCATCACACACAGCACTCTCCCACACCCATCACACACACAGCACTCTCACACCCATCACACACAGCACTCTCACCCAGCATTCTCTCACCCATCACTCTCACACACAGCACTCTCACACCCATCACACACGGCACTCTCACACACACAGCACTCACACCCATCCACACACAACACTCTCACCCAGCATTCTCTCACCCATCACTCTCACACGAAAAGCGCTCTCCGCACCCAATCCCACTTTTGCGGCGCTCTCACACACTGCGGCGCTCTCACACAGCACTCTCACACAGCACTCTCTCGCCCATCAATCTCCTCTCCATCACACAGCACTCTCACACCCATCACACCACGGCACTCCTGGCACAGGCGAGCACTCTCACACACGCGGCACTCTCACACACTGCACACACTCTCACACACACACAGAACCCCCACACTGCACCACACACATACCACAATACTTCCCAAATATATATATATATATATGCCAACGCCTTATATACATACACACACACACACTACGCTCTTAACATACACACTCTGGATCCCCTATACACACACTAGATTCCTTGTAAGCAAACACATACTACACCCCTAAACACACACATCATTACCTATACACACACACACACACACACACACACTATAGCCTGTATGCACACACTTGCTATATCCCCAATACACACATTCTCTACAGCAGTGTTTCCCAACCCAGTCCTCAAGGCACACCTACCAGTCCAGGATTTAGGGATTACCCAGTTGTGTCTAAGGTGTTTTTACAAAGAAGAAAAAAAACACCTTAGACACAACTGGGTAATCCCTAAATCCTGGACTGGTAGGTGTGCCTTGAGGACTGGGTTGGGAAACACTGCTCTACAGCCCATAGCCACATATGCATCACATTACACCACTTTACACCACAAACACAACATGACTAAAACCAACCTTATTACACAATACCACACCACAATCAGCTCACTCTACACACACGCAATATCACAAGCAGGCTCCAAACACATGCACAATACTCTTTCCTGGCATTTTTGTCTCCTGGTATCCATTTATAGAGACAGCAGAGACAAGTTGCAAGGAAACACAGTGCAAGCATGTTTTTAAATTTGCTTGCACTGTGCAGAACAAATACAGAGCTTTTTTCTCATGCTAGAGCTCTTCAGCAGAGCTCTGCGCATGGTCTGCCCTGGAAGAGCTTTGAACCAACATGCTTACTTTGAGAGGGGGCGTGTTTGTCATTGGTGATGACAAAACACACCTCCTCTGCCCCGCCCCCTTCTTAGTGGGCCGCTGTGTTAAAAAAATGCCCGGGTCGAATTTTTCTCCCAGTCCGGTCCTGGCCTCAAGTACACATTTTAAAGGAAAATGCCGAGCACCATAACCACTACAGCCTGCTGTAGTGGTTATGGTTCCAGTAGTGCTCTGGAACCCTCCCTGAGTAAGTACTTAAACCTAAAAACAGTTTGAAAACATACCTTTGTCCCGCTGAAAGCTCCCTACAAGAACAAAAAGCTGCATTGCGCTAAGCCTTTCTGGGTTTAGCTCAGTGACAAAAGTTTCCAGCAGCAGGGGAAATGGCAGCAGGCACCTGGTCAGATCCAGGTAAGTTGTCAAACTGTTCTTAAACAGTTTGACTACCCATTGTAGTCTATGTAGTGGTTATGGTGTTTGGAGTGTTCCTTTTTATGCGTTCAAACTGCACTTTGCCCCAGGCTTACCAACACCATGTAACAAAGGCACGCTGCCAGGTGATTGTGACACAGTTTTTCACGCCGCCCTTCTGCATAAAGTGAAAGGTGTCTGGGAAAACACGGCCGATATCAGTACTAGTCAGAATAAATAACCTCAGTTTAGGTTTGTCTTGCGTATTGCTTGCAAATCTTTTTTCACCCCTCCACACCTCACTGCTGAGTCAATTACCCCCCCCCAAACGTTAAAGAGACTGTGTGGTTTATTTACATACAACAGACATTTTGCAATGCAAGTGATTTTTTTCTTTTTAATGAATAATAAAACAACTTAATCTCCCAGTAAATTACCACTATTTAAACGTCTTTAGTTTATAAGGTGACAGTTGCAGTCCAGAAAAAAAAAGAAAGAAAAATGCAGCTATTAAATTTCAAACTTTTTTTTTTTTTTTACTATTTAAGGCACTCTTTCTTAGATTTTGTGGTCTGCCACAGCAGGACTGCTGCATTTGCAAACATTTACTTCATCTGGACTTGAGCTTTCTTTTTTACTTTATTTTCTTCAGTAAGGTTTTTTGTTTTTTTTCATAGCTCTGGTAACTTTGGCTTGTTTTCCACCTCTTAGTTCCATGTGACCCTTTGTGGAATTTTTGTGAATGAAGCTCTATGGCTCAAAGGGCCTGAAGGCAAATCTGGGCCGTGAGTCTATGAATAAACACATCAATCAGATTAGAAAAACACGCGCTCTGATTGGCTGGCCTGCAGAGGCTGACTGGAGGCAAGCCAAACCCCGCCTGGGTTACCCGGGTAACCAATCCTACTCTGGCCGCTCCAGACGGTCTCTGCAAACTGTTGCTCACATTACAAGGGGAGGGAACCTGGATACTTAATATCTATCTGAAAAGCAACAACGAAGCAAGGGCTCAACCGAGCTCTGCAAACGGAACGCAGTGTTTTCACGGTTCCTTCAGTTTTTTTCACGTTTTCACCTAAACCAAAAGGACACCTTCTGTAAACAATACATGCATTTATTTATAAAAAATATATATATATTTTACCAGGAAGGATACATTGAGATTTCTCTCGTTCATTGTTAGAATTTAACCCTGTATACGCCGACGGCCTCTACACAAAAAAGCAGGCTAACAAAAAAATCCAATATATGAATAATATATACTTAGGGTTTAGACAATAAGCCTCTGCTACCCACGCAGGGTGTATAATTGGTAGGCTACAGCAAGTTTAACTCCATTTTAACTCAAAGGGTTAATTGGATGCACACAGGCATTGCATATCGTATTTATGACAAATATATCATTACCATACTGCAGATCAGCAATGATACCATTGCACTAAATAAGATTTGCTGATAGCATGACATGAAGCCAGTCTTGTTTATAAATATACATAGGTCTATAACGCAGGAAATGCAATACCCCTCCATGGTGAACGGTTGCAAACTTTTTTTTTTTTCTTTTTTCCTTACACTCTTGCTACAAAGTAATAAATGCAAAGGGGTCTTTGAAACATTTGTGCAGAGGGAGCTGGCTTTTTAGGAAGGGGGTGGGGTGCAGAATGTAGTGAATGAAGGAATCGGACATGTCTGTGTGTACAGTGTTGTTTGGGGAAGTTAATGGAGCTGGAGGGAGACAAAGCATTTCCGAATTGCAATGAAAGGGTGAGGAAAGGGCAATAGAAAGGTCACCATGACAGCTCCCCCGGGGGGGATCAGGAGCCATTGTTTTTCTTATCAGAGGGAGAGGGGGGGGGAGAAGCCTGATTGACAGACAGAAATCTGATCCTGTGAAAGAGACAGAGAGCCAATGGGAGGCAGAGATCTATCAGTTTGGATAGGAGGCCCCTGGAGGAGAAGGAGAGGAAAAACCCACACAAACCAGCTCTGTCAGTGGCGCTTTCTGCTTTCACAGGGGGAAGCGCTGGGAAATAATTAATATTTTTCTATGATTAAATTTGGAGGGAGTTTGGTACAAGCCGATCGCTATCAGGTGGGTCTTTCCAACAACTTTTTATGTTTATTTTATTACTGTTATTATTTATTTTCTTTACTATTCGTCATTGCTCTGGAAAACCAACATGCTTGGGGGGGTTTGCTTGCAGTGATTTCAGCAGGATTCCAAGGTAGAATGTTAACCCTTCATGCATCTAGGGGGAGCGTGCAGTGCACAGTTTAAACTCCCTGCTCATCCAGCACTGCAAGGGTTAAAAGGATGTCGGGAAAGTGATCTAGAAAGACATTTTTATTGCTTAGTAAGATTGCTTGGGATATGGTTTTTTTTCAGTATTTTTTTATTTATTTTTAATGTTATCAGGAATTTTTTTTTAACCCTTTTAGCACCTTGGGATGTGCAGGGTAACAGCCTTAACCCCTTACATACACCCCCATCTACTCCCGTTAGGTGCAAATCACGTTGATCGCCATTACTAGTTTTGCACACGTTTGCAAATCAAGAGAGCTCACTTTGCACAGATCTGCTCATGTAACCGGGTTTGTAAATAATACTCAAACTCCCTGAAGGTCGTTACTTCCGTTTAAAGTGAATATTTGCAAGTTTTGTAGCCATCCTTTCATGCAAATTCATTGCAATGCTTCAGGGAGCGTTTTTTATGAATGGGACTGCTGAGGTTAATTAGCTATGCAAATTCAAGCCTCTCATTCATGATTTTTTTTTTTTTCTTTTTTTCTAAAGCCATCTTGTTCCCTTGTAGGTTGCCTGCAGCTCAGATCCCTTGGAAATCGCCAGATAAATGCCCACTACACCCATTTTTGACTTAAGATTTGCCTGAGAGCTTCAGAATGGATGGATTTTATGACCAACAAGTGCCTTACATGGTCAGCAATGTTAATGATCATCTTAAAAGTTTATGTTTTTGTTTTATAGGACTAGTAATTTGTTTTATCATGTACATATTCAAACTGGCAGCATTTGTTTGGTGTATTTAAACTTTTAAAAACTCAATTCTAAACTTTTTTTTGTTTCTCTCTAAAGCCATAACTTGATGGCACATAAAGCACATGTAGTTCTATCACCTTGTGAAGGTGTTTTTTTTATTTTATTTTTTTTATACATATTATGTAATGGGTGTATTAAGACATTTTAATTGGTTCTTTAGGCTATAAATTGTACGTTTATGCAGCCCTGTGCTGTTGTAAGTTGATGGTATTTTTAATCCTGGGGATAAAGTACATGCTGAGCTGACTTATGTCTCAGACAGTGATTCTTGCTGTTTTTAGAATCCGAGTGGGAGAACCTGCCATGAAAGAACAACAAGCGTCAGAAAAAGAAAGTTTCTAAATCGAGACCTGGCTCATGATTCAGAAGGTGAGAATTCTCATATCCATCCTATGGCATTGTTTTGGCTTTATTGCCTTACACCTAGACTCATTCACAGATATGTTATGTGCTAAACCTGCTTGTAAAGAACACATGCTTGCTGAGTTTTATATACCCTACCCTGTGATTTGCTGATTTGCGTCTCTTCGTTTTTTAACCATGGCTGAGAGCTACTCCTTTTGGAGAGTAATGATTCATCCCTGGAGATGAAACGGTTAATGCTTTTATAGTCCTATTTACATGCTATGCTCTAGAGGTCCTGCACTGCCCTCTCACAGTTTCCATTTTCCCCCTGCATTCACTCTGCTGTTGACAATATACACCCCACTATCACTTCTTGTCCTACCTTTTGTTAATGCACAATAGCGTGCTAATGAAGAACATCAAACAAAAAGTGGTAGGAAATGGTGTGTGTGGGGTGCATTGTGTAAGTGTGTTTACCTATTTAATGCAGGAAGGGGACACAGTTGTCCCTCTGTGTAGAGGGGTATGCCTTACTTATTTATTTTTTTTTAGCTTTTTTTATTTCAGAAATATGCATTGAGTTGTCTGTTTAGATTATAAGCTTGTGAATAGGTTTCTCAGTCCCTTGCTATATAAATGTATCAAATTAAGCATTGTATCCCTTCCTTCAATTCTACATTACCCGATCATTTGTTGGCTATTTATAAATAAAGTTTGTTACTGATGGGCATTTTTAAAAAATATTTGCTAAATTTTTATAATTTTTTTTTTTTTTATAATGTTGCAGCTGCTAGTTCACTATGAAACTAGTGCACTGTCTGCATTTATTCTTGAATTCTGGGGATGAGGAGAGTTAATGAGATCATCTCAGATAATTTTGTGTATTCGACTGATTTCATAGAGCATTTTATACGTTGTTTGTTGTAGAATATTAGTTCTGACAAAAGTTTTTGTTCTCTCTTTGCTTTCTACAAATCAGTTTATATGTAGAAACAATTCATAAAACTATGAGAGTGTGTGTGTGTGTGTAATTCTTTTTAAATACAAAACCTTTATCTGTTCAACATCATTTTTTTTTTATTTTTTTTTTATTTGCAGAACTCTTCCAAGATCTTAGCCAGTTACAGGAAACATGGCTTGCTGAAGGTAAGAACCAATGAAGGGGAAGCATGTTATATATGGGAAAACCAAGAGCAGGATTTATTCACTAAATGGTTAGATATAGTTAATTAAAAGCTAAATTGCAAAGCTTTGGCCAAAACAGTTAATTTGGGGGAAACAAATCTCAAAAATCTTATAGCGTTGCTATTTTATCCCGGATTTGGAAATATGGATTTAAATTAACCACAATTCACTGTTTAGTGAATAAACCCTAGTGTGTGTGGATGGGGGGGGTTGGGGGGAGAGAGAGCATGTCCTGAACTTGCTGTCTTAATGTTCAGCCCAATTAATTGAGCTCTAAAAGAGCCACCTCATGTGTCATGCATACATTAGAGCCTCTGATGAGTATGTCTTTGGGGACTCTGGGGCTGTGCTACCCAGTGTCATCACAAATTACCAGGAGAAATTGCTTCCAGCTCACAATCACATCTGCTTTTGGCAAGAACTAATGCTCCAAGACTTCAAGTTCTAAGCCTCTGTTCAGTTTTTAATTGCAATTGATCAGGTTTATATCAGTGCACCTCAAGAGACTACAGACAGCCAGAACAGGGTTTGCTGTTTTCTTTTGAGCTGCGCACATGATTCTTTGGTGTTCTGGAAGAGTTGCTTTCTGATGGCAGAAATTGGTTTCTCTGAGTTCATCAAGACGGGATGCTTCAAGAATTGAGTGCAAGTGTCTTCTTTCCGCCTTGCTCACAGCATAGGACTTTAGGTGGGTATTTATTTGATGTTCTTATGCAAGACTTTTTGTACAATTTTTATTTTTTTGTTTTTATTTTAAGAAATTATAACATCTGTATTTGAAAGTGTTAGGATTTTTAAGTTATAATTTTAACTTTTTTTTTCTTTTTCTTAAATGTTGAAACACTGGTGTTGGCTCTAAGTCCCATATACCTTTTTTTTTTATTATTTATTTATTTATTCCTGTTATTAGTGTAGCAAAATGAAGCAGATGACCAGAGATACATTGTATATCAGACCTAATGTTCGTTAGCTGAATTTAATAATTAAAAAAATATATATTTATTTAGGTTAGTGCTACTGTCTATAGTTGTTGTGGGTGTTTTTTTTTTGTATGACATGCGTAAAATAAGACCTGTATAATGTTTCTATTTTACACGGAATTTGAAAACTGAACAGCTAGTGTTTACAAACTTGCTTTGCTGTTGCAGTGTGTTTTTGTATTTTATTTGCAAATATGAAATTTACAGGGGTATGTCCTTCTAGAGTTATCACAAGAGTCTGATAGCCAACTAGTAGTTTGTCCCCGTAGTGGTAATGTTTTCCATTTCTGACTTTCGCATTTGTTTTTCTTTTATTTGTTAACATGTCGTCATAAGTTGTGTTTGGCAGCAAGATTGAACAACTGAGCTGCTTATACAAATGCATTAACATCATGTTAAATCATGTTTTTCCATACTTATCTTCATAGGTTTTTATTGTACAAACATTTTTCAATATTGATATAGAAAATTAAGTTATTTCTAGAATTAACTTATGATGAATATCATTCACATTTGTGCAGGCACCCAGGTGCATTTTTGGGAAGTATTGTTATAAGGATTTGCTCAAGTAAGGGCAAATCCTTATAACAATCCTAAAATACTCCTTTTTTTTTTTTTTCTCAATAAATATATATATTTTTTTGCATCAATCAGTGAAGTGTTGTATGATTGTGGAGTTGTTTTGTAGAATATTTTTGGTTGAATAATCAGGATGCTGATGAATCAGCATTCTGGTTAATAAGCCAGGTGTAGATGTACCTGTCTGAACAGGTTTGTCTGTCTGAATGGCTTGAGGTTGTAAATATTTAAATGTATTATTGCCTGTTTATGAATACATCTATGTTTATCATGATGTACATGTATATTTTAAGAAGGCTTTTGAAAATGCAAAATACCTTTTTGTGTATTATTTTTAATAGTTCCTTTACTGTAAATTAACTATGTACCCTTAAGGTGCTGCATGGTTGTTGTTGTTATTGTTGGGTTTTTTATTTTTTCTAAATTTTTTTTATTTTATTTGTTTATTATTATTATTATTATTATTATTATTATTATTCTTGTTCCTATTGGTTATTTTGTCTTTGTTGGTCCAGGCCTCCACAGAGAATACTTTGTTTGCTGTTTCCAGAAAATCGTGTGTGTGTGTGTGTGTGTGTGTGTTTTTAAATACTTTTATATATAATATACTACAGATAACACAATCTAGTAAGATAAATCAAGACGCATGCCTGTCTGCTTACATTCTGAACGCCACCTACTATTCGCTATGTCAAGAAATATCCATATCAACTTAAGATGTGGTTAATAGAATATTTCCAGTAACTTTCTTAGTGCTATAACAACAGAAGCATTTAATGAAAATTTATGAACAGAATTCCACCCTGTAACCTAGATTTTCTGTTTTTTAAAGCTACCCCCCATTATTATAATTAATACACCATTTCATTAGATTTTATACTCCTGTGTTGAGACATTTTGCAGTGTGCATTGATATATTTGTAGTATGTTTTATTTTAACCAGGTGTGGGTAGTGAATGTTTGTCTGTATATATTGGTAGTTGACTATGGATTTCTAAAATAGTATTTGGGTATATAGAGGCAAGTGCCATTGAATGGTATAGTGTTTGTTTATTTTTATACCCCAATGGCAGTAGCACTGTAGCATCAAGTTTTATTTATTAATTTTTTTTGTTCCAGGTGGAACAAGAAATCTGTATACCTGCAAGGTCTTTGTACAGTGTTACATTTAGTTCTGTCTTTGCATAAATTACCTGCACTGAACAGTTTACATATTGGGTTGTGTATCTATGGTTTGTACTTGCATGCATTCACACAAGACAAGGGGAGGAGTTTGACTGAATGGATTTCCGAATGCCAGATAGGCATCCAAGGTTGGGTGAATAAGGTCTGCTAAAGTGGCAATGCCTCTATTATTGCGTAAGAACAATGAGTGAAACCAGGCTTTTCTTTACGCAAAGGCAAGAGATTGAATTACACTTGCTATGAAAAAAATTAACAATCTGTAGGTGAGTTGTTTTATAAATTTCCATCTTTTTTTTTTTATTTATTTTTAAAGCTGTGTGTGTAATAATTTAGATAGAAGCAAAGAGATGAATCAGGGAGTTTCGCTTATAGCAGTTTATGAAAGTAATGAGGTTTGTTCAATTTTGTGGACGACAACAGATTACTTATTCTAGTTTTCTTATATTTTAAACTCTGTGTTTGTGCAACATGATTGTCAACTGTATGTCTGGAGTTACCAAGTTAAGGAGCAAAAATCAATGTACACTTTTTCATTGACCTAGTTAAACCCCAGGAGCTTGTATTTATTTAAAATTGTTTCTCTTATGTCGTCATTGGGCTTGTTCTCAAATTCTTGTATGTGGTTTTTCTAATCGTGCCTAAAAGTGCAAGTGTTTTTTATTTTTTTCCTTCACCTCATATGGCATAACTAATAAATGGATGTCCACACTCTGTACACAGGTCCAGACTAGACAGATATGTATATATTGGTGTTTCCCAGCAGCGTTTTTATTCTGAAAGAGTAGGAATAGTTCTGCCCCGATTGGTAACTTCAGTAAGAGTAACTTTTTTTTTTTTTTGTTACAAATGATGGTTGTTCTTAATTTGCCTACAGTTACTGTGTTTTTAATATTTTATTTTTTCTAAGTATACTTTGAACTGCCTAATGTTTAAGTACATGGTTATTCTTTGAGTAGGAATTTTATTTTCGAAAAACAAGTAGCTCTCTGCACTGCAAACATTGCTGTGTTTACACTGAAAGTTTAAGCTCCGTTTTGCTTCAGGTTTCTCGAAGGGTGTGACATGAATAGACTGTGGTTGGACCACATGGTTCAATGTGGACTGTTTTTGTGAATGAAGGCAGAACTCCACTTCTGACTGCTAGTCTTGAGAAATAGCTTAGGAGATCAGCTGTCTCATTCACTGGCAGAAATAATGACTCATACATCTTCTGCCTTGTTTGGCTTCAGGTCATTGTTACAGTAGATAGAGCTTGTTTTAATTAAAATACTAACTCTTTGCATGCTGGATTTTCTAACATTGCTTGAACAACCTGTTTGCTTGTGACAGACCTTTACATCCCTAATCTTTTTTTTTAATTTGTGACCTTCTATATGAATGCAGCCAATGACTCATTTTAAATAAGCTTTTTACATACATTTTATTTTTTTCTTTCAAAAAAATAATTTGTAACATATTGGGGGTGGGTTGAAACTGGCAAGTAGATAATGTTAATGTAGCTCCCATCTCTACATCCGCAGCCGCTGCTAATAAAAAAGCATGCTTCAATTACATTTCCAAATACCTCTTAGCATTATCTATATAACTTTTTAATTTATTTATTTTTTATTGGAGATTATTTTTACAGTATGTGTATGCATTTGTATAATTACATAAATTATTATTTGCAGTAAAAAATTTTTATTATTGTTCAGAAGGTCACGCATTTTTGTATTTATTTTTTTTGTTAAGTTTGTTTTTTAAAGTTTATTTATTTTTTCATTTTATCTGCATTGGTAATACCCTGGTGCAAAAATGCTAGGCTCATCTGTATGTGACTGACCCTAGCCAAATCCTTTGCTTCCCATCCCACCCATTTACATCGGCCAACTTGCCATACGTGTAATCTAGTGATGTACGTATACCAACAGATACACCGCTAACTTTCATGGTTTTTACTACTTCATGACTTACATTATTTTCTTTCTTGGAAAAGTGGTTGAGAATAGTGAACAATCTTATCTCCTCTGGTGAGTTCATGCTTGGTATATTCTTACATGTGTTTTCAAAACAATCTAAGAGTGAGGTTAAAAACTTCCTGTGTGAGGGCATAATACATGTGCAAGCACTCATTCTCCTGAATCGTCTAACCTTATTAATATGCTGCAAGTCTGTCTGTCTGTGTCTCTCTCTCTCTCTCTCTCTCTCTCTCTCTCTCTCTCTCTCTCTCTTTCTTTTTGGATTTTGATACTTGCAAGGAATGATACATTGTTTAATCTGTATAATCTCCTTCCATTATGTGTGTAAATTTCATATTCATTCTTTCTTATTTTATGAAGGTTGTTTTGCTGAGACATAAGCTATGAAAGAGTTAACAAATGAGACCATATGATTTCCAGTTCTCATTACCGTGATTGATGTAATTCTAACATGAGGTTGCATATGCCATTTGGTAACATTAGCAGTTGTTTTGTCCTGTGTGTGTGTGTGTGTGTGCGCTCTTTCTTTTCTGTTTTTGTGGTGATGGTTTGCATTTTCTAGATCTTATTTTTAAGAAAGGATTGATACAAGAAGAGAAATGATTTATAAATCTGCAATAGTAATTTGGTTGCAGATTGTGTGTTATGTTGGTTATTCTTTAGTTCAGGATTGATTAAAACCATTCAAAAATTGTATTTCGAGAGCCTAAGTTTTCTTTCTGGCTGACTCTCTGTTTAAGTTGTGTATTGTGCCTTTTCCTCTGTATTCTGTGTCTAGATAGGCGTTTTGCTTGGAACAGTCTACACAAATGGGATTTTGTTGTTTTGATTCTCATTGAAATGGGAGTCCATACCATACAACTTTTTTATTCTTTCTGTGAGGTTCATTCGAAGTCTGAAATGTTCCTTTTTTTTACTTTTGATGTATTGCAGAAGTAATTCTCCAAATAATTCCAATTGTTAAGTTTTACAGTTCTTTTACTAATACCGTAGTGTATCCTATTACGTTTCACATCATTATTACTTCTGATTTTCTTTCCATAAGTTTTTGCATTCTCCCTACTTGCTGTTATGGTAAACTGGGTATGTTGGGTTTTTTTTAATGCAATCCTAAACATTTTGAAGATTTTTTTTTTAAATTTTATCTTTTATATTTCACATTAATTAAACAAAATACTATATTACAGTTAATGAGACCCTTTAACTACAGCATAGGAAGTTTATAGTCAATCTGCAGACACCATTAAACATTGCCTTGAAATGACTTCTTTGTTCTGACCCTGCTTCAGATTCAATTAAACTGTCATTTTATTTAAAAATAAATAAATAACACTCTCTTGGATTTTTTTTTTCTAATTGCCAGTAAGTATGTTGTAGGTAAAGATTTAAAAAAAAATAAAAAAAATTTTTATATATATATATATATATATATATATATATATATATATATATATATATATATATATATATATATATATATATATATATATATATATAAACATAAACACAAGAACTGCTAACCAAACTGTTTTTGAAAAACTTTTTTTAATTTATTTTTTTTATGTGTTTAAAAATGTTGCATGTAGAATACAATGATAATATTGTTGTTAATTGGGAATACGTTCTTGAGAAGCGCTGCAGAACTACATTTTTACGTTCAATTTTTCATGTGTTCTTTCTGTTTGTCATCTGTACATACTACAATGACCTTGGTCAGTGCTGTACATACATTTGGTTTGATGATATTTCTATTTATTGTGAATCTGATGAAACTAAAGAGTACTAGACTTTTTCACATTTTAAAATAATCTACTTTATTACATTACAAGGAGATATTTCTATCTGATTATACTCTAGCCCAACTGACCTTAAAATATTATCGCATTATTGAATGTGATCTATGTATACATTTTGGTATTTCTTTTCTGTTTTTCAGCTCAGGTGCCTGACAATGATGAACAGTTTGTTCCTGATTATCAGGCTGAAAACTGTAAGTATGATGTCACTCATATTTATTTATTTATTTTTAACAGTGTGCACTTTGTTTTGCTTTCCTATTGAAGAGAATGTTGTGTTCATAGTGCTCCATTTGAGTAAGCGGTAACACAGGGTTTATAAATCTTCTTAAGTGATTTCCTAGATTAGTTTCAATTCTAATGGGTCAACCATGGGCTTTTAATAGGACTCCAATATATGGCGCAGAATATCAGAAGTAAAATCTCCACTGTACTAAGTGCAAAAAAAGTAATGCAATTTGTTAACCTAATGTAAAATACACTGTACAGTTTACGTTTTATATATCGCAGTACCACTGTTCATGAAAGTGTTATCTGCTTATACATTTCAGTAAAGTGTGTGTGTGTGTTTGCATGGAGTATGGTATTATGTGTTTTGGATTTTAAATAACACTAACGTTATGTTTTCAGAGTATAAAACAAGATCCTATTTTATATATTAAAAAAAAAAAAAATACAACACACTAGTTAGTAGAGTTTTCACCAACAATTTAATTTCAAGGTGGTAACAGCAAGTAGACATTTTAGGTATTTATGAAGACATTCTGACAAAGGTTCTGTGTATGGGCTAAACATCATCCACATTACTTACACCTTGTTAAATGTTGGTGAAAGATTGTAGTCTTTTATTGTACCTAAGTTTCTGCTTTTAGTCACTTTAGTACTGATTTCTGATTAACAGACATTTAAAGTTTTTTCAGTGTTTTAGCTCTTCTGAGTACTTTGACCAGTTAACTTTTGGGCATCCTTCTGTAATGCATTTTCTATATAGTGTCTGCCTGTGAGTATGTAGTTTTTATTTTACTTATAGATAATGCTTGCTGTTTTTAAAAAAACAGCAGCACTTATGTAACGTACCCTTGCTTTAGTTAAAGTAGTGCTCTATCGTACATAAAATAATTGATACAAAGCAGTTTCAATTAACTTGTAAATGAATTACATTCCATTGTAATGTTTTCTTGCTTCCAGAACATGTTTATTAAAATTATTATTTGTGCAAAGTTACTTTTTATAACACAGCTCGTTTTAAATATGCACACAATCTATTATACTTACAATGTGCACAATTATTTAGAAATAAATGCTGGTCTATTAAAAAAAATAATCTGGAATATGAAATGTTTGCTGAGGTTCCATGTACAAATGGGGGGGAGGGGAGAGAGGGGGGGGGAGTGGTAGTGTAGATCTGTTTGAAATCTTAAGTAAGAAAGGTATTGTGCACACTCACAATCAGTGAGCAGATTGAGCACTGCTTCTTCTTGAATGGGAGGTACAACCTATTTTGTATATAGGGGTGTCAAGAAATCTTTACATTCACAAATATAGATAATGATGCATGACTAATTGAAATGTTTTCTTACACCAGGATAACACAATATTTTTAATAGCAATGAAATAAATATTTTAAGCACTAACATGTTTATATTGTTGCATATAATTTCCATTTTACAAATTTCAAAAGTAGAACAATGCTGAGCCATACATTTGCTAGCAGGGTTCACTTGGACAATATAGTGCGTGCTTGTATTTAACTCTGTACCAAGCAGTCTGAACATTAGAATTATTATGAAATTCTAATATTCTCCATATCTGCTTTTGTGCTTGAATTGTTATGATTTGCTTTCCCGTAAGAGGTTTGACAAAAACCCAAGTTAGTTCTAAGTATACACTGAGTGGAGAGATACAAAACTTTTATGTAATGTATTTTTTTGGTATGTGATATTTCTACTTATAGAAGAGGCACAGCATATGCCCAGGGGTACGGAAGACACAATAAAAGAAATGCAAATGCCTCTAGGCTGCACGAGAAAAACATTTTAGAATAATTCATAAAATTGCTCTTTTTAAAAGTCATCCTCGACATTTTGTACATGATCTATTGGCCATGTCAAAAACATTCGATTTGATATTTTTTTTTATTTTTTTTATTTTTTTTTTATTAAACATTTTGATAAAGATACAACATTAAAACTATTTTCTTTCCATTTGATTTTGAAAGCATTGAATAGGTTTTATCATCATATTGGATGTGTTCTCTGTACACTTTACAAAATAATCTATCTACATAAATTCATATAAAGTCTATAATTACAGGGGGTGGGGGGTTGTTTTTTGGTAGTCCATGATAGTTGAATATATATCTTTTTTAGTTCCCTTTTTAATTTGTCTTCTCCATGAGTAAACTTCAAACTTCTGTAGTGTCAGAGGGCCCAGCCTCTCTACCCTTGACTCTATAGTGCTGTCCCTATGAACTTTAACCAGAAATAAATAGTATTGATAAGCAGAACTGTTTATAATGGAACTCCTAAGCCATGGTTAGACAGCCTTCGGCACTCTGGATGTTGTGGACTATATCTCTTGTGATGCTTTACCAGCATTATGTCTGTTAGAGCATTTCCATTGTCAAAGTTTTGCCGACCCGTGTAATAAGTAGATATAAATGTGTATGTATCTTCTTTTAAAATTCAGTAACACATCTAAGCTTATGCCTGAAACAAACACTCAAAAAACCCCCCCCAAAAATTATATATACACACAAATTTGTGTTAACCCATGCACCATGACAACTTCAGTTATTTGACATGGACATGGTGCCTGGAGTCTTTATGTGTGCTATGAAATGCAGCACATACAGAGATTAACCCCTCAACTTCCTCAGTGCACTCCTTTCCTCCAGCAAGTAGCAATGAGGATCGGGTTGCATGGAGAACTTGGCATTGGAGGTTAGGTGTGGGTTGTGTTTTTTTTTTTTTTTTGAGGAGGGGTTGAAACACCTTTTTTATGAAAGCATCAGGTTTTGGTTGGAGTAATCATTTATGTCTGATGTACTCATGATGAGCTCTAATCCAATCAAATGCTTCTCTTCTAGAACACATGGCGCTAGTGTGGCAGTGGCTACATTAAGGTTCAGTGGTTTTGGTACTTAGTGTCCATTAAAAGACCTTTGATATACCACACAGATTATGTAGTATGAAATGGGAAAAAATACACTTGTGTAGAAAATTACGCATGCTTTCTGAGTTATTCATTGGCATTTACGCAGTTTCTCTGGTTTTGTTTTTTGTTCTTGTGAAATCCCCCTGCAAACTCTTATTATAATTTTATAAAGCACCAACAAATTACGCAGCAATATACAATGGGTATTCCGTTTTCATTTCACATTTCATCTGTATTAATAGTTCTTCTAGAACACATGGCGCTAGTGTGGCAGTGGCTACATTAAGGTTCAGTGGTTTTGGTACTTAGTGTCCATTAAATGACCTTTGATATACCACACAGATTATGTAGTATGAAATGGGAAAAAATACACTTGTGTAGAAAATTACGCATGCTTTCTGAGTTATTCATTGGCATTTACGCAGTTTCTCTGGTTTTGTTTTTTGTTCTTGTGAAATCCCCCTGCAAACTCTTATTATAATTTTATAAAGCACCAACAAATTACGCAGCAATATACAATGGGTATTCCGTTTTCATTTCACATTTCATCTGTATTAATAGCCTAAAATTATAAGAGTTTAACCCTTCATTTCAATAGAAATGTCATAATTATTAACAGCACTTTGACCTGAGCCATGATTAGCCCTTTCATGTTGTACATGTATCACACCTTGACAACTTCCTGCCCTAAAAAGCTAAAAGCCATTCAGTACTTACATTTGTTATCTGCTAGTCTTTTAGAAAGGCAAACAGTTAAGAGGCCTACCACTTAACTGTATGATAAACATGGAGGACACATCTTAACCCATGGTATTCTATTTACGTAAAGGTTTGTCAAGCACCAATTTAACCGCTTATTTGTCATTATTATTTATATAGCGCCAACCTATTTCGCAGCGCCGTACAAAATTCTGAAAATAGGGGGTGGGGGCGGCGGATTTAACAATTTTTAACAAATTGGACAACTACAAAATGATACAGGAACAATAGGTAGATAAGGACCCTGCTCAGGCTAGATTACAGTCTAGAGGAAGTGGGACATAAAAACACAATAGGACAGCAACTGAACATAACTACAGTCATAGTCTAGTTTCTTTATGGCTGAGACATCTACAATAAATATAGAGATGTAAACTGGCAGTCACTTAGACAGTATTGTGTTTATTCTCTAGGTGCTAAATTGATCAGGAAATAGTAACATTTAGAACAGGCAAGCTAAATTTGTAGTGTTGTTGCCGTGGTGTGTGTTTGTTGTTGTGTTTGTTTTTTGGTTTTTTTTTCCATAATTTAATTTCCACTCAACTCCCTTTTTAATTATTTGTGTTTTCTTACTATGTAATTATGGAAATTAACAGGGAAAACTGCAAATTTGTATGCCAGAAAAATTGCATTTTCAATATTCTCCAACTAAACTATGTTTCCATGTTGAATATTTTGGCGTACATACCTTCACATTTGCTTGTTTAGTGAATAACCTAGCTGTTTTTGCTTCCAGGCAGTGAATGTGGACATGTATTTACTCTGTAGAACACATGAAGGCTAATTTAATTACCGATTTTTCTTTAATCCTTTATACCTCAACAGCACTGAATGTGTTGTTGGTTTATAAATAGATATGCAGACATTCACTAGTGCAGATGAAAGCATATTTTGATAGCTGTTGTAAAACATTTCTTCTTAGATGTCTGCTTGAAAATATTATAAGAGGGGGGGATTTAACTATAAATGGGACAATTACAATAAACTTACAGGAACGATAAGTTGAAGAGGACCCTGCTCAAACGAGCTTACAGTATTATCTTGATGTAAGATGGGTAGAAACATGTTAATAAAACACATACATGCATATGTAAACTCATGTTCCATAATATGATCCCCTACACTTTCCCCATTGATTGAGGTCAAACGTGGGACCTACCCATATTAAATGTTCTGAGTCCACAATGCAATTGGCACTGCAGTGTATATAGCAAAACACCATGGTCATTGCAGTGCTGGTCCTTAAAGCTATCCATCAAATATAAATAATGCATGCAGATATCCTGTTTTACTCACATCGACTTAATTCTTGCGTCCTAGGCTAGGTTGGCTTTAATTACAGTTTTAAGAACAATTGTGTTGAAGGGTGTTAAAACCTAGGATGTGAATAGGATGTTTTGACCTTTTTAGTACCCTTTTGCGTGTGCCAACTTATTTTGCTTTTTATTGGTGATAGCTGTGTTAAAATAACTACCACTCTACAGGAGGTTGGCTATAAACCAATCAACCCTATATGCATTCCTAATTAAAGGGGCAGGGTGCTCTTCATATAGCAACAAAATTAAATGACATAGGTTTTCCCATTGCTAATGAGTCTTTTTATTTTGTTTGGAGGGGAAAAAAACGGCCTTCACTCTCAATTGTACAAAAGTGATCTAGTCATTTATGTCTTCATTTGGTTTGGCATTATTGACAATATGTCTCCTTTTTACATGCTGTCTGATTCTTCAGTGCCCATCTCTGTTTGTAGCGTACATTGAAACTAACACCAGTTTGTATTACATGTGTCAAATATTGGTCACTTGCCTTTCTTTACATTTGTAGACAGCTAATATTTGTTAAGATGGTTACTGTTTGCTTGCGTTCCGTTGTGTAAATGAGTAAAACTGACATTCATTAGTTACCAACAGCAAATCCATTTCACTTTCATCAGGTGATTTAAAAAAAGACATATTGTTTGCAAACATTCTTAGATCATCTTTTACAGTAATTTAACAGTTTTGACACCTTTTATCTACAGTATATTCATTAACCCATTGATAGCATGTTATCCTTACTCAACCTCTGTTTTTTATGATCTCCTAGTTGTAATCTGTCTATCGATACAATGTATATATTGGTGGAATTCAAAACTGCATGTAATTACTTTTATTTTAAACCACAATAAAATAACAAATCCTAAAGCTGATTATAACAAATTGTTTAAAAAAACAAAAAAAACAACAAAACCTGCAAAGTAAATATAATCCAATCCACCCATTCATTTAGAAAATTAAGTGTGTTTTTTGTGTTTGTTTTTTGTCTCTTCTGACTAATTCTTCTGCAGGACACAGTGTTAAATTAGAGGGGCAAAGGTTTAACAATAATATCAGGAAGTATTACTTTCCTGAAAGAGTAGTGGATGCATGGATTAGTCTTCCAGCTAAAGTGGTAGAGGTTAACACAGTGAGGGAGTTTAAGCATGCGTGGGATAGACATAAGGCTATCCTAGATGTAAGATAAGGCCAGGGACTAATAAAAGTATTTAGAAAATTAGGCAGACTAGATGGGCCGAATGGTTCTCATCTGCCGTCATATTCTTTGTTTGTAGGTACCATAGGTAGCCTTCTAAGTTGCTTTACTAAGCCAGTTAATTTGTCACGTTTTTCGCATATTATACGTGATGTGATTTATTTCTGATCACTTTGCATATACAATTATCTCTACTGAACACCGTGTTACTGCATCAAGAATTCTTAAGTTCTTATATTCAAACTCGGTTTGCGTTCAACCATTACACTAAATTGAGGTTTACAGAGTGGACTGTCCATTCTGGATTAGAGATCGAAATCTCTTGTTTCCAAGTGTCAATCAATATACACTGGATTTAAAATGTTCATATGTTATTTTAAGCATGTATATTGGTCAGTGTATTCTGTAAAATAGTTTTCACTCTGACTGGATATTTTATTCAACACCCTAAAGTTTTTTTAAGAAAAATCTTTAAACTTTGGTTTTTTACCTTCATGTATACCATCATGCTAACTTTGCATATTCTAAACTTACACACCGCTACCACCACACCATCCCCCAAAAGGGGTCTGCTGGCACACCTAAAACTCAAATTTCCCATATGCCCTCCAGCACAAAAGGTTGCAATTGAAATATTTGTTTTTTGGAAAGGAGGTAAAAATTATAAGAAATCCCATTGAAAATAGGACTTTGTTTCCAAAGATAAATAGTTAAAAGGGGAAAAGTAATGAATATGAAATAGATACATCACTACACTATTCAAATGGCAAGAATTCAATGACAGATTATGTTCTGTGTTTTTCCCCAAGACCTGCATTTGCTGTTCACTTTCCTTCTGTGAATTTTAAGGGAAACAACCTTAAGAGCACATTGGTATCCCTTCTCACTAGGCATTTCTGATTTCAATAACTTGTTTCTTACATCACTTATTTTTTTTTTTTATATATTATTTTGTCTCTGTTGATATTATATTTTCAGGTAATGTTGAACAATTACCTTGACTAAAATACATGTTTAGAGAGAGACAATGACAGAGTGGCTGTTTTTTAGTGATTTGCCAATACATCCTAACCAAAGATGTCGAAGCAAGATTCATGTATTCACTTCTTATACCTCCTGCAAAAGAAATGTCTTAATGCAAAATGTAGGTAACTGGGCATGAGAAAACCCTTGAACGCCAAGTGTTTAACATTTTTGAGTGTTTTGTAGCAAACCCCATACATGCACGTCGTCTTCTGGATTAAAAAATTAAAATCAACTTTACTTATAAATAGTATGTCTGACTTATAAAGTCTACAAGTATTTGTCCAAATTGAGTTAAAGAATGCATCCTGCTTGGCAAGCCTTTTGGTGAAGTCATGCACCATCAGCAGCATAGATTAGTGGCACTAACTTCTGTGTCTAACTGTTTCAACAGAGGGTAGTATTTAAAAGAAGAACGTCTGTTTTAATGAATCAGCCTTATTTTCTGGAAAGTTATATTTATACTTTACAGTTTTTAAGAAGTGTGTTTTTTTTTTTTGTTTTTTTTTTCACTTTAAATAACAGGGAGTGGCTAAAATAGTGGCAACACCTAACAATAGTTTAACATCTTAAAAGGGCTGTCTATCAACAGTAAATTAAACTTGGATGTATCCCTTAATTTGTTTAGATTTATTAGATTTTTTTTATTGATAAAAATTGTCATAAAGATTACTTTTTTTGCAGTGCCTGGACAATCTACTCACTGTAGCATGATATCCCTCGATTGAAATAATCAGTTATGAATTTTTGTATGCTCAGATGCATCCCATGTGCTCACACACAGTTATTTACTAAATATTCCAAAGTCAATTTCAAATTTAAGGCCAGAGTAGCGGAACTGAAAGCACAACTTAGAGAATTTATTTTATGCATTCATATGCATTAAAATGCCAAGTAAGGAGTTTTATTTATTTTTTAAAATTTATTTATTTTTTAAACTGCATCCATACTACCGTATTAATTCCACTTTTGTGAAATTCGAAGCTGACCGTTTTTAGGTGAGACTGTTATAGAGTTACTGATTCCATTCTGTGTTCATTCGTGAGACTGTACAATTTGTGGCATTTTGTGACTACCTTGTGAAGTATCCATTTATCTGCCAGTGTGCTTTGACTTCAACCAATCTGTCTCTTATCTTCAGTAATATATATGTATATATATATATATTTTTTTTTATTTTTTTTTGACTGCTCCCCTTGATGCTTTAAATTATTTAGCAGCTTTTTGTGTCTGATGCACCTGTAATTTATGCACGGACTGTGTGTCCTCTGTGGCTTTCTGTTGCCTCATGTTGCTTTGAAAACCTTCATATAAAAAAATGTGCTAATTGGACAGACTTTAATTTTTTTTTATTTTTTGCATATAACTGGCACTACTAATTGGCAATCAACTTAATATGACTTGCCTTTTCAGGTGCATTTGTTACAGTGATTTAGTTTGTTCATAGTTAAATAATTTAAATTCTATTCTAATATGGTTACTCATTCATTTTTTTTAATTTTTTTTAACATTTGTTTATTTTTGACCGCCCACTTTAGCACATTACGAACAACACACTTTTTTTGTTTTGGTTGTCCTCATTTCAAGCTCCATATTGTGACAAATTGTAAAGCTAGCAGCAGCCGTATTGATCACTTTTGGTATTTCTTCCATTCCCTGTTCACATCATTTTACGATGTTTAAATGGGCTTTCTAAGCACCAATGCCATTGTGGCTTCTAGTAGTGACCATGGGGCACAGCGTCTTTGGGTCCCCCCCCCCCCCTTTGGATTGTGGCAAACCATTTGAGCTGTTTTGCAAAAATAAGACTCTGATGGGTCTAAAGCATGATGCTCCGTTGTAATTCTGATTCTGTAATAATAGAGCTTTTGGAAGATAATTGTTTGAGAAAAACATTCTGGAAAGTATAGAATTAATGCGGAATTTCTATTAATCAAATATACTCCTGGTAGAAAATTTTCAGTCACCTTTTCTGTTACTAGAATACACCTAGGAAAAAAAAAAAAGATTTATTTTTATGTCTGGCATTCAATGCAAATGTTTAGTAAAACTCCCATCATAAACTGAAGCTTGCTTGTTTACTTATTTATTTGTTATAATCCCCTGGAGGTATATATGTGCATTCATGCCCTTGTCGAAATCAAATAATGCACGGCTTTATTAGTTTGCCTCTTTTGCACCAATGAAGGGTTGCATCCCGAAACGTTTGTAATTTCCATCTGTGTCCTTCAAATAAACCTGCACTGTAGCACTTTTTGTGCACACAGCCTTTCTAGTTGCACTGCACTTCTTTCTTCTTTTAATTATTATTATTTATATAGCGCCATCAGATTCCATAGTGCTGTACAATGGGTGGACTAACAGACATGTAATTGTAACAAGACAACTGGACGTACAGGAACAGAGGGGTGGAGGGCCCTGCTCCATGAGCTTACATTCACTATGTACACAACATAATCCCTAATTTTAGCAGTTTAATTCATGGTACTTATTAGGACAAACTGTGTTTAAAAACGATAGGTCTCCTATTTAAAACAGAACTTTGCAATAATATATAATAATTTTATTTATTTTTTTGTCTGGTTGTCCTGTTGTTCCAATAGTAACCCATCCAAATTTACTTAAACCCTACACAGGCTTCCTGTTATAGTCAACAGGGCTGTAGTTCAGTGCTTGACAAATTAGCTTGGAGCATTTTAATTTTTTCATCAACAAACATACAATTCTTAAAGGGACACTATAGCCACAAGAAAAACTACAGCTTAATGAAGTGGTTCTGGTGTCTACTGCCTGTCCATTTAGGCTTTTTAATGTAAACACTGCCTCAGAGGAAAGGCAGTGTTTACATTGCTGCCTAGTAACCCCTCTAGTAACAGTCACTAAGACTGCCATTAGAGGTGCTTCCTAGTCTAGTGCTGCACAGTCTGCAGCACCTACATTCAGCGTCTCTGCTCTCTTCCTGGAGGTACTGAATGTTCTCCATAGAGATGCACGATTCAATGAATCACTTTGATAGGATGCTGATTACTGCACGTGCAATAGCCTCTCAATGCTTTTCCATGATAAAGCATTGGCTTGACTGAGATCATCAAGTCTGATTTATTTCAGCCGAGGAGACGGGCACAGCATGGGAAGAGTAGGTGGGTGTAAAAAACACCTTTCCCATGTGATTGTAAGTAGGCCGGTCACCTAAACACTCTCCGTGAAGCAACTATCCCTGCTGTCTCAGTGGTTATTGAAGTTTATTAATTTTACCAAATTTCAATATTTTATTACAGCTCGTTCTGACATACACTATATGTGGGTCAGAGCAGAATGATCTGAAATGTGTTATTATAATATATTTTATTTTGCTTACTTTAAATCTCCAAATTGTTAATCTTCTTATCTTTGTTGCCTTACTTTTACTTTATACCATGTAATTTCATTGGTTCTAGAATAAACTGGTTTCAAGGGTTTCTCCAGTATAATAATACAGTGACTAGTTTTTTGCGGCATGTGTTTTGAAAACTCAAATGACTTAAAAAGGGGAAAAAGCAACGGTCAAATGCAAAAATTGGCTGTACTAATTGTACATCTTTACTAAAGTGTTTTGTCTGTAACTTGACCACATTTAGTCCACACAATAGTCTTGTTAATAGACTTTAAAAAAAAAAAAAAAAAATATATATATATATATATATATATATATATATATTTTGAAAGATATTTAAAACCAGCAGTATGGCCAGAATCTGAGAGGTCAGGTTACACTGCCTAAGTACTTCTTTACAAGTAACCAAAAATAACTGTTCACCATTCCTTAAAATCAATTAGGTAGTTAAAGGTTTAACTCAATAGTCTGCTGCCATCATTAGCAGATCACCTTTGGCCTTAATCAATGTCACGTTGTGATTTTTTTAGAGAAATATCGGCCATCTGTCTGTTTTCATCTTGCATTCCTTTCTGCATGCTGTGGATCTCTGCGTAATATTAGGTAATGGTCAAAAAACTAGCAATATTAGGAGCAAGCTTCAGAATTTGTTAATTTGGAGTCCAACTTCCTGTAGGATCAAACATAATCTTCACACGCATTCTATGTTATGTAACTACTTAGTTAGATAGGCCTAGATTAGGTGCTGGATAAAGTTCCACTACATATTATTTTACTTGAAAATATACCTGTTTAAGTAGGGATTTTGTTGTATATTATCCTAGTTATACATTATTGCCATGCCTAAAACACCCATATATATGTATCACTATGCCCTAACTCCATTTATGTAGTGCTCATGACATTCTGTTATCTAAGTGCAATATTATTGATTATTCAAGTATCCCTATATGGAAACTAGATAACACTCGAGGTTCCAAATCCACCTCTTCTTAATAGACTGATTTTGGTGCAACGCGCTTGTCCATTTTCTTTGGCAATGTTAAACATTGCCCCTGGTCTTGTCCTCACCTTGGTGCAAACACTCTGCCAAAATATACAAACCAAGAAAGGTGCACTCACAGGACTTCGTAAATAATCTTTGCTGCTCTATTGTGCAGTAGTATGCACCAAAATCTTGTTTCGATGTTTCAGTCCTATTCAGGACTTTTTTTAAAGGAGAGAGAATCCTGACACTGGAGCCTGCTCTGTTTTATATATTCTATAGATGTAGTGACAGTGATACATTGTGCAAATACAACGTCAGTAGTAACATATTAAAATACGTTGCATAAAGTATCAGGAAAACCTGCGCCTTTTTTTTTTTTTTTTTTTTTTTTAAATGTAAAGTTGGGTAAAACATATATGTCAAACATGTCTAAGTGCTAACAAATAAAAATGGCACAATGATAATTCTAGGCATGTATAGTAAATGGCATACATTTTGCTAAACAAGCTAGGTTAACATGGATGAGTAATTTATCCACTGAGATCAAATACATCACTATGCTGAACTTCCATTTAAAAAGGTAATCAAAGATGTAAGGTTGCTACAGCAGGCATCATAGATCAGACAGGCTTAATATCTCAGGGACATGTCAGGAGAAGCCCCCATTGCTCGTGGGAAGTCAGCCGATGCCTGCTCTGCAGAGCTGCTGGAACCGTGCGTGGGAGCTATAGAGCGTGGCTGTGTGCACTTGGCGGGCTCGTGGGTGATCTTGCCATTTTAGGGACTGTAGGTCTCCGTTGACTTCTCTGCCATGGAGCATGAGCACGTTCCCCTGGGACCAGGATAACCCCCATTGATCAGACTCTTTTCTCCCCCTGTCTGGATGTTGCAAGGTGAAGAGAATTTTCAACTGCACTTTTCCAATATTCCTAGGGATAGGGTAATGATTGGTTAACTCCGTGTCCACCCACTCAAGGGTGGAAAGCATAAAAAAGTGTGTGTGTGTGTGTGTGTGTGTGTGTGTGTGTGTATATACATACACATGCATAGTTACCTGTTTTTTTTGGGGGGGAGGGGGGTCGGTTTGGTTCAGCCTGCAAAGTGAGACAAAAGCTAAAGTGATGCATGTCACTTTTAAGTTGTCTCAAAGTGAAGCATGTGCCTTTAATAGACTTTGATATCTTATCTTTTAAAAATACTTTTGAACTAAAGGCCTATTGGCAAAATGTGACTTTCAGTACACTGTTTGCACATGTATTTAGAGCCTGCAGGAATGCCTGTCAGGTTTTTTAGGTTCCTTTACAGTAGAGGAAGTGTAGCAGTTATGAATGCAATACATATGAATTCATTAGTATAGGTGGTGCCCATCCTAAAGCTTTTAGAAGCTGAAGGCAAAGGAAATAAAACAGAAGAAAGAGACATTACATCCTGTCAAGTATTTTGATTGATTTAAAAAGTTATGGCACTTATTATTCAACACATTTTTTTTTTTTTTAAAACAAGTTTAGTGTACCTGTTTTATAGAGCTGTTGTATATGTTAGCACTTTTTTTTTTCTAAATATCATGTATTTAGTTTTTTTTTTTCTATTACAGTATGAATTGTGTATAAACGCAAAGTGATTAAGATAAAATACTAACATTTTAGTTTCTAACCGAGTGGAAACACTCAATTCATATCAGGTGTTAGCGTGCCAGAAGTTGTCAAAGTCCCCTGCCCCCCTTTCACTCCCCCAAGAGTATTTAAGTAGGAGATGACCAATTCCAAAATTGAAAGGACGAAAAAATGTATTAAAATGACCATTTATATTTTGAATTAATAAGTTAACTAGTCCTACCTACTGACCAGTATGTCTTTAACACCTTATTTTGGTCAGAGTAAACCTTCCTATTTGGTGCCACCCCAAACAAACAGACATCTTGCAGGCCATTTTTTATTTTCCAATACTTGAGGCAGAGATCTCCCTGCAGCCTGATCTTCCGCTGAACAAGGAAGGGCTGACGAGGAGGACCGGAACCGCACAGGGAGTCAGGGAGTGTCAATTTTGCAGAGGGTTTAATCTCCATATGTAAGCGTTTCATAGCAATGCATGTTGCATATACAGAAGTCAGGCCCTGTGACCACTTCAAATCGTTGAAGGAGCCATGGTACTTAGAGTAACCCTTTAAGTAACAGTTTTTAACCAACATATTGAAGGTAAAAAAAAGGAATTGGTAGGGACAAGTTCATTATGGTGTGTGTTTTCTGTTTGGGTTTTCTTTTTCTTTTTTTTTTTGTATGCATTTTAATAGCAGTTTAGAAATGTTATCGGTAGATTTGTCACAGACATAATTCACATCTTTCTTCGGGCACAGTAAACAAGAGAAATGGTTTAATGGCTCCATAAAAGGCACTCTATGCTGATAGCTGAGATTAGGCCTTTCAGTAATGGATTTTTTTGTTGGGGGGAAGGGCTAAGGCTTGGCAGAGGTAAATGTACTGGAAGAGAATATTTGAGAGGCTCTGATATATGTCAAGTGCTTTCAGCCTTGTTTTGTGTAAGACAGATTGAACAAGCCTGTGACACCGATGTCTTTATATACAGGCCTTCTGCGTTTTGCTTGAGGAATTTTACAAACTGCTAATTGAAGTTGGTTAAACCTGTATATCGGAACAGTACTATCACTTTCAGATTGTTACAGGGTGCTATAATAATCATGTGTAATCATGTGTTTTGTCCTCTTTACATTCAGTTGTAAAACAAAAATAAAATACATTTTGATAATACTTTCATTCCCCCTTAAAAGCTGCAGATTTTGCTCTGTTTAAGTGTCATGCTTTCGGACAGTCCTGCATCTGGTGTAAGAGTCCTGATTTAGCCTTGATATATACTTTTGTGTCTCACGTATGGGCATTGGGCCATTGCTAGTTATTGCTGGCCATGTAAAAACTTATACAACAGTGAACGTATTGCAGTGATGATTGGACAACAATAATGCATGTTCTTCTTCAAGCTTGCAAGCTTTCTTACCAGGTTTCAACTTGACGGATACGATTTCAGGGTCCTGCCCTGCCATCCCAATTTTTTTCCCAATTCCCCCGTATCCTGGGACAACAAGAAACTTTCCTCTGGTAGTGCAACAAGGTCAACAATCGTAAGGCGTGCTGCTCTGTGAACGGGCACTAGAATCCTGCAGAAAATGCTTCAGTAGCATTCTTTGCAAGGTTCTGTATGTTAGGGACCGGTCCGATATATAACCTTAAATTCCCAACTAGCTGAATACATTTTGTGCAGATATTCAGTAAATCAACCCCAGGAATCGAGAGGCCCTGAATCTTAGAAATGCCACAGGCTCAATTTTAAGAGTATGAACTTATTATTTCCACGTTCTTATTCAAAAATCACATTTGATCCACTATAGGTCTGCCTCCTGGTTTATGGATTCTACAAACATTTGTCAGTCAATGTGTTAAGCGTAAACTGTGTGAAATTGAGACATGAGCTTGCTCTGATCGAGACACTGGTACAGAGGTCAGTCAGCTACATCACAGCTTGACACCTCTGTTTCTGTCACACAGTTCCATAACACTGTGTTTGACCAAGATGTAGCTACCCTGTCATCACATCAATTTATTCTCCATATTCCCAGTATTAATGTGTGTATCCTTGTCACCTACTTCAGTTGTTATCGGTGTGTCCCTGTATTATGCTTAGCGAGCAATACACTAAACTTCAGACAATGCTGCGTAGTCCGTATTTACTCTCTGAAGATTTTTACTGTATGCAAGCACAATGTATAGAGCCGGCAGCAAGCTGGAGCCGTGTTCAGTGAATTTAATTTAATTAGTGTTGATCATGACTCCAGATGATGGTGATTTGATAAGGAATAATTTAGTACTTAACAGGCTTTTACATGTACCAACTCCATGTGGGAAGGTAAAGCAAATTGCACAAAATGAATGGGCTTCTTTTTTTGTGTAAATGCCAGTAAGCTTGAAGAGTGCCTTTTAGCAGACGTAAAATCTTTGGTTGCACAAAATGAAGCGATTTTTAAAGTAGCGGACACCCCTTTCCAAATTGTTTGTAAAAACGTGATAAGAAGCAGATTTTCTCAACATTTTTATATATATGTGTGTGTGTGTGTGTGTGTATATGTAAAAAAAAAATAAATCTTCAAATCTTCTTACATTTTAAAACTTTTTTTTTTAAATTCATATAAATATATTAATATGTTGTTGAATTTAAAACCTATCACGTGTAATCATCAATGATGAGCAATGTGGGAGGGAAAAACGAGTAAATACATTTTTGGCAGACTCCAATGGAATTGATTGTTTATTTCTTAAGACCCGTGGAGAAAAAATTATGGAATAATATAAAAAATATATCAACAGAATATTTTAGCACTGTAGTATAAATAGTATATTAAACTTATCCAGTAATTTACTTCCCCAAAAACTAAGGACAATTACTTTTGTTTTTATTTTTTTAAACCATTTTTATTTATTTAATTTGATTTTCAGATTATTAGATGTTTAGGCCAAAGAGAGGAAGTAGCTGATTGTTTGTGCTGCTGCTTTAAGATACACAATATGGTGCTTTTATTCTCCTGAAGTATATGATACATATGGGGATACTGACCACAGGAAATTAAATTATCTAATAGTTTTTCTTGCCGTCCACTGGGCAGTCTGGTGAAATTGACTAAATGCATATGAATGATGTATAATCTTAATTGATATTGAATCGAGTACATGCTCAAAGAACTGTCCTGTAATGGTAATTCAGTTCTGACTTCCTTTGCTATGAACTGATCCGAAACGAAGGCTTTTAGTAAATATGTTTTGGCCTTGCAGTGTTTTTCATCAGCAGAGACAAAAAAAAAAAAAATATTTGTGCAGTTCCGGAGCTTGGTAGATTCAATTGTACTCGTGAAAAATAAATTCATATTGGTATCCTAAAGTTTATCCCCGAGTAGTGTGTGTGCATTGTCTATGATCTTCCTACTCCATACAATGTAGCTGTTGCTACAGAGGTCCACATATTATACAGGAAATCACAGAAGGACTAAGATCCCACAGGGCAGGTTATCTGTTTGCCCCAGTCACTCATTCTTCTTGTAAGAAGCACTTGCATTGTTCCAGAGCCCCTGTCTACCCTTGGAAGCTGCCTAAGGTTACTTTTGAGTTAATTCTGCTCTGCAGGCAATGGGAAGCCAAAACTAGAAAGTTGATCAAAGCAAGACTGTAACAACCACATATGTATGTTATCATAAAATGGACGTAAAACAACCATGAAACTTGTGACTTATAGGAGGAGTCTGTAACTTTGTAAATGCTGTAAAATAGTTTAGTTGGTGCAGTACATTTTCAGGAATCTCTAAGGAAACTGTCACATAGCCTTTACTTAGTGTGAAATCTATTCTGAGGTTGTGAACCCATTGCTTTGAATGCAATATCTACTTTGCATTATGGATTTGCCATCCTACATGGCTGCAAACATCATTCAAATACATGACTATACTTTGAACATTGGAATATATCCCTATCAAGCAGTACTCTTTATCATTACTGATAGTATGTTTCTCTAGGGTACTATTTTTACATGTTCCACGAGCCCATTGTACTGTTTTAACTAAAGGAAAATGCCTTCAGAAGAACATTTTAAAAATTTTGTATAATAATTTCATGTTTGGTCTTAACTTATTTTCCCCACATCATTTTGCCTGTCCATATGACTCAACCCTGTGCTTGTGAACAAGTTGTACTGTTTAGAACTCTTGCTCATGTTTGTTATGTTAGCATTTAAAGCACTCCATTTGTAGAATTGATCTTACAATAATGTTCTTGCATATCCCCATTAATATATGATGTCCATAAGGATTTTATTTTTCCTTGTTGACATGTAGACACTTTGGTACAATTTATGTTTATAAAAATATTTTCATACAATTATGCACACATATTTTATTACACCTGTGTATAACTTGTACATCTTTTTATTTTGGGACACTATTAAGGTCTATTTGTGAAACATTTACAGTGATTTTAGGAGCCATAGAGCGGTGTGTTTTTTTTTTTTCCATTCTTTAGTAAATTGAGGCTTTTATTTATATATTTTTATGTTGACATTTAACAATGCTCCCTTAATAAGTATCCTAAGTGGGGCAGGGGAAACCACAAGTGTGCTGTGAACAATGAGGTCCTGTGTTTGTTTGTTTTTTGTTACTGGGTTCTGGGTTCAGAGAAGTAGAGTTGCTTCCCCACCCCCTACACAAAAGTGGGTTTCATAACCTACATTAATAGTTTTTATCTTATTGTACTGGGTTAACACAACCTGAGATGATTTGAAGACCTATCTGGTGAAGAATGAGTAGGTCAGAGTTAACCATGTTTTTCCGGAAACTTGTGGCTACTGAGCATCGTAGGTTTGAATGTCAGATCTGCACTTTGTGCAACACTTTTGGTTTTCATCCTACATTTCTATGGTCCGGTTAGGAATACACTTAAATGTTGCATAGTTCCTCCATTTTGCAAATCCGTATTAAGAGACACATTTGTAACAACTGCTTGTTGTTACCACTACAGAGTTTGCGTTCCCTTTTTTATATACATAGACTGCATTGTATCTTTGATGGAGAACTTGAAAACTAGATCACGCAGCACGCTCTGTTTTAATCTAGAAAGAAAATAATTTGATGGACATTCTAAATGATCTAATATAGTTTTTAAACTGTTAATAAAAATACAATGTAATCTTTAATAAGTAGTTAACGTTTATTCAGTGGATCCATCTCTGTCATCGATTTTGCTTTATTTCTTTTACGAGTGCACTGCATATGGTTTTGCAGTGTTGTCAGGGTATACAGAAGAGTATTCTAGTGTCTTTTTAATGTAATTTTGAGCATGTAAATGTAATGAGGCATGACTTTTAAATATTCACCAGATGGTCATTTGTTTTCAGGTTGGGTTCTCATGCTACATTCATTTTTGCCTGATACAGTAGGTGTTGGGAGGCAATATGTAATATATGTGCTTTTCTTCATTTAGGGAATATTCATCTTTGTTTTATTGATAACTGGGGATAAAGCAATTGTTGCTCAGACTCCGCTGCTAATTATTCTTCTGGCTGTCAGACAACCGGTCTTGTTACTTCCTGGTTGCTTAGCTCAGTGGATCTAAACTCAAGAGGCAGCAATTTCCCGTAGCACCTGCCTCGCAAAGACTTCTCATTGAGCCTCATTGGGAGGTTTGTGATTGTACAGCCACAGAAAGTGTGGGCTGGGTTAGTAGGGGGAGGGCTTGCAAAGGCTTCAGACTAAAGCTCTGCAGATTTTACAAGCTGTTTTTAGATATGTTGCATATGAATAAAATTTGTTTTTTTCAGTTGATGTGTAGAAACTAAACCGTGATCTATTTTTGTGCGTTTGGGCAGTGGAGTGTCATTTTAATCACTAATGCTTCCTGTAGAATTGCAAATTCTACATGCTGGCTGCCTGCACTTTTCATGTGCTGTTTATCAACATATATAAATATAAATATATATGTCCAGGAAAACATGGTGGATCTGAGTGGGGAAATAATTAGTCTGCCCTAGTTTTTTGGTTTTTTTTTTTCTCGTTTTTTTGTTTTTTTCTGCGGCACAAACTCCTACTATTCCTTGGTAATAGCGGCCAAGCATTCTCTATCACGGAAGTCACTCCATTTTCTCTTTTTTTTAAATCAAGCTAATATTGCAATTAGCATGTCAGCTTGTAATCTAAAAATCATAGTTAGGTGTGTGTATTGTCTCGGTCTGTATTTGCCCCTGTTTTGTTTTTACAGAGAAGTCATGAATTACTAGGTGTGAATGCCTGGTAATTTTTTGCCTCTGCAGACCAACATGGCACACTTGAGACTGCAAAGATCATGTGTAATGGCCACAGTTACAATTAATATTAACTTTTAATAATTAAAAATGAATTAAGATCTAATGTGTTATTGTTTTAATTTATCAAACATCATAATATGCTTGTTCTGTTCTTGAAAAGTCAAACTGTTGCCCTGGAGAAGCTCCTACAAGTTTAATATTGTGCTCCCTATTCGTGAGTGAAAATAATGAAATACCACCTATAATTGGGTTCAGAGAAGTAGAGCTGCTTCCCCACCCCCTACACAACTGAGGTTATGTTAGTTCATATTTTTTGGCTTTACAAAGGGTCACAAGGACCACCTGTCACGAGGTTAATGCTTAATGGTTCAATAACCTCCATTACTAATGAGTAGACACAAACCCTCCTGCGCAAATGGCAACCTCTTGGTTTTAACTACATTTATTTAATGGACAGCACCCTAAACATCTTTAAATGCAGTCTGCTTTAACGAAGTCAATATATTCTAACGTTATTTTGATGTTCTATGGTAATTTTTACATTTGTAATGATTTGTAGAAATAAAAGTGCATGTATGATGGCTCTTTGTTCCATTTTCTCTGTAGTGGCTTTTCATGGTGTACCACTAAAGATCAAGAAGGAACCACACAGTCCCTGCTCAGAACTGAACACTGCTTGCAGTCAAGAACAGCCATTCAAGTTCAGCTATGGGGAAAAGTGCCTGTACAATGTCAGGTAAAGTAATAGTCCGTAATAATGCTTGCATGACGTGAATCCATGCCACTCCAAACTTGCTCAGTTATGTGCTGTACTTGGTTTTGACGTCCACTTTCACTTTTGATTGCTCTATGTTCTATTAGTGTTCATTGAGGTTCTGCTCAACTACCCATGATCCTACAGGGCAAAATAAATCTGCATGATGCAATCTTTCATCTCCTTAAGTTGTACTGAAAGCAGCGTCTGCAAATTATGTTTGTCCTTTACAGAAGGTGTGAATGTATGGAAACCGTTGCTTCCTTAAATATTACACCACTGAATAAAATATTTTTAAAAATCCACAATTTTATATAAAAATAAATAAGTATAACATGTGATGCCCAATTTTCCTTTTGAATTTATATTACAAATTCATCAAACTCTGTAAAAATCCAGTTAAGACGATGCAAATTCAGGTCAGACCTTTTCAGTGAAACCAAATGAAGAGGATGAATGGAAACCTTGTTTCAGTTCTCTTCTATTCTGTATGCTTTCTCTACATGAACTGCCAGGTGCACTGGACAGATCAGCTAATATAGACGACACAGGATAAATAGGGGTGGAGCCTGGGATGTGAAAGTTTTGCTTTAAGTGCTGGTTTTACCCAATGCGCTTAGATACAAGTACTCTCTAGTAGTAAGACTTTTTTTGAATAGAAAAAAAGTGTTCATTACCGTGGTGGGAGTCTGTATCGTAATATTGGACTAAGTGATATCAGCTTGTTTGTAAAATATATAGTATATTATTTTTTTATTTATATCTTTTTTAATTTATTTTGTTTAAATAATTTTATGTCCGTTTTCATAGGATATTTTCTTCAATTGCACTTATTTTTAAACTTGCTAATAAAAGTGTTTTCTGTAGGTCCTTTCCAAAGATTTATTGAATCAAATAATGAAATATACAGTAACAAACTGATGTTCGAACTGAATACAAAGTAACCTCCTGTGCTTACTGCCGATTAGCATTAAGAAGTATTTGCATTTGGTCATTTTGAAAGCAATGCAGATTTTATTTATTATTTATTTTATTTTTTTTTTTTTTTTTTTTTTTTTTTTTTTTTGCTGTGATGCTTTAAGTGCTCCATTTTTGGCTCCATACTTCACTACTTTGAATTTTTAATACAGAGATATCCAAAATAAAGAGCTTTTAAATGATTGTGCAAAACTGTATATGTAGAGCAGCAGATGCGATCATAATGCCTAAATAAATGTGTTTGTGGTAAGCATGAGTTTAGGCTGTCCGCTGCTCAAGTTGAAAAATAGTCGAGATGCAACCCAGGGCTCATGTCTTTGAATCCAATGGTACCTTCTCTGCACACTCAGCAGATGAATTCACAATCACCATCTAAAGAGATTAAGACACCTTTCTAATTTACTCATCACGGAGTTGCCAGGTTTATAATTTATGAGCCTCTTTTGGGGCCCTTGGCTTTTCGTTCCTTTAGATGAAAAATAATGCTTTTCAGCAGAGTGTTTTGAAAAAGCTTTTTAACCTTTGCTTTCTTTACTGTAATGCATTTTTGTTTAGCATCGCTGAGACAGGCTTTTAAAGTGATTTACATTCTGCCGTTCATTCAGGGAAGAATGGATTGTAGGTATATTGGGTATGAGATCAGGTTACCTTTCTGCTAGTTTAGTTTGAGATTTATATGCCATTCCCTGTGATAATTTGATGGGTATCACTTATTTTGACTAGGCTATGTGTGTAATATTTTCTTTTTGTATATGTGTTTTTTTTTTTTACAGTGCCTATGATCAGAAACCACAAGTTGGAATGAGGCCCTCTAACCCACCAACACCTTCAAGCACTCCTGTGTCCCCACTACACCATGCATCACCCGGTGCCAATCAGACTCCAAAACCAGATCGACTCTTCCCTACTCACCTTCCACCATCCCAACCCATCCCAGACAACAGCTATTCTATGGACCATAGGTAATCAGACTGTTTACAATCATAGAGTAATACTGTTTTATCATTAGATCTTGTTTTGTTTTAATAGTGGAATTTTGTTAATATTGGGTAGCTGTGTTTGTGTGTGTGTTATAGTGTAGGGTATAACTATAGTAATTTGTGTATTATCTATAAACAAAAGTACCACAAATACATTTTGTATGTATATGTTTGTAAGTCTCACTGCTAGATGTAGGTAAAATCTGAAACATGCTTAATGACTGGTGAAATCCTTTGCACTTTATCTTAGAACGAAAGGTTGTATGTAAAACCAGTCTACCTAGAGCAGAACCATGTTTCATTTGTGTGTTTTTAATCTTCACAAAACTATGCAAAGTCTCATTTGGTATATGCTTTGCATTGCAAATGGTTTGTAACACAGCCTGAAATACTACTAAGTTAGCAAATGTTTTGGAATCAAATGCTTTGGATGCAAAGATTTGTTGCAAATGAAATCTCACTGGTCCCATTTTTTAACGCATGATATTCAATATAATGTGACTTTAAATCTATCCGATTCCACGTGTTCTATTTTGTGTACTGCGGAACTCTTGATGAAATTAGAGAACACGACAGAACACTTGTCAAATATTATTGTATATTTATTTGACTATAGCCACTAACTTTAAAAATATGATTTAAAACCAGAATGTGCTTGCAGTCACTATATGTCAAATAAATAATACAACCTAAAATTAAAACTGCTTAAAGATTATAGGTAACTATTGTATGGATTCCAAGAGAAAAAAAAAAAGGCTTTTGTGTGTACAAAAAAATAATCCGCAGGAATACTAAAAGGCACAGAGATGGTGAAAAGCAATGTTTATTTTATAGTCCATGTAGAACAATAAATGTTTGACATTTCTACATTCCTAAGCTGAGATATAAACATGTTGCTGCTTTGTTTTGTCACCACTAGAAGTGTGTTGACATACATATATATAATATATATAATATATATATTTTTTTTTGTTTGTGAGCCTAGATAGTAATGTAGGTTTAGTTCTCCATGCTCACAGTAGTTGCCAAATGTTCTTTGCTTTTTTATTTTTTTCCCCTCTATCCCTCTATCTCTCTTGAAGGCAATATGATGTTACCAGCAGTGAGCATGTTACCATGACACAAGGGTGTACATGATAACATTTTGCAAAATCCTGTCCTGCCAATGTTTAATAAAGCTACGTGGCAAGTAAATAAAATAAAGTGGCTCACTTTATTGAACACATAATTGTTGTGGGTAGTGCATTGAAATTGTGTAAAAAAACAAAAATAAAAACATACTTTTTCACGGCAGAACTTTTATGTCCAGTGTTATGTTATCACCCTAAGTCAAACCAGTTAGTTATTGGGTTTAGCAAAAATCTAAACCAAGACAACTCCATTTTAATTCTGATCGTTTAATAAATTATTATTATTTTTTTTTTTTTTTTTAATGAGCTACTTGCTTCAGTGGCGTTGCAATGCGAGGTGTCCCATGGTTGTAATACAGCCCGAAAAAGTTGAGAAATAGTTTGCAGAGGCATACGGTGCATGATTTCCAGTTTCTCTTCAGCTACAATGAAAATAATCAAGTGACAGCACATTATAACTCGTACAATGAGAGCGGAGTTGTTTTGGTGCATGGAGTGTCCCTTTAACTCTGTGTGTAGTTTTATATTTAACCCATTGTAAAACCTTACAAAACTGCCTTGTTGGACTGGACAATTTAAAATCTTCAGTTCTGGGGCTGGCATAACGTTAAAACAAGAGACAGGCTGCATAGCATCTTTATCTTTAAGGGCCAAGCACAAAAATATAATATCATTGAAACGCGAATGAATCTCTAACCTTGGCTTATTTTCACAACAGATTTCGCCGGCAGCTTTCTGAACCATGCAATTCTTTCCCACCACTGCCTGCAATGCCAAGGGAAGGCAGACCTATGTACCAACGACAGATGTCAGAGCCAAGCATTCAGTTTCCTCCGCAAGGATTTAAACAAGAATACCACGATCCAGTTTATGAACATAACACTATGGTTGGAAATGCACCCAATCAAACGTTCCCTCCACCACTCATGATAAAACAGGAACCTAGAGATTTTGCTTACGACTCAGGTAAACATTTAGTATTGGATGTGCAATTTTTTAAGAAAGCGAAACCAAATGTAAAACAATGAGTGTCAGAATTATTACCATATATAAGTGCATTTCTGTCCTCATAGCTGTTTTTTTAACTCTGTGAGGACCAAAGGCAATGTGTTGTCCTAATATTCGGGTGCTTAAAGACAATCGAGGAGAATTGTCAATGTGTTATTTTGGGTGCAAAGTGTTAAACGAGGGGGAGATATTCCATTGCTTTTTAGTTAACAATTTGCGACATAATCGCACATATTTTCATCATAGTTTTTCTGCTTCATTTAGTGAAGTATAGAGCAAATCTGAAGATTGGTCTTAAAAAGAAGGGAATGATATTGTTCCTTAAGGGGTTAATCTCCTTAATTTGCATGATCAAAATTCCAAGTAGCAATTTCAACAAAAGTAACAAAGACCATGCTTTTTAACATAGCACTTTTTAAAATCACGTGAAGCACTCCCTTTTAATATCGTTTTATATACGATTTGGTACGAATGAAGTAAACCGATTCTGTTAAATTAATATGAAAGATAAATAGTCCTTGTGTTCCTGGTATGAAACATTACATATGTTATACAGCCAAAGTATGAGGCAGATCAGAGTAACAAGGTAGCAATTATTAAAGGATCACTATAGGGTTAGGAACACAAACCTGTTTTCCTGACCCTATAGTGTTTAACCCACCATTTAGGTGGCTTGCCCCCCTATAAAAGTATAAAACCTTATTTCCGCTCCCTTTGTGACATCAAGGAAATGGCCAATTTTTAGCCAATCCAATGCTTTCCCATAGGAAAAGCATTGGATTGGCTAAAATTGGCACGGGGGCGGGGCCAAATGCTGTTTTGGCCAATAAGGACCTCCTCAAAGAGGAATCAATGCATCTCTGAGGAAAATTCAGCATCTCCATGCAGAGCGTGGGTACGCTGAATGGCAGCGCTGCTTACTGTGCAGCCCTGAGCCAGGAGGCCCCTCCAGTGGCCATCTGAGGAGTGGTCACTTGGAGGTGTCCATAAAGGCAATCTAAACATTGCCTTTTCTCTGAAAAGACAGCGTTTACATGAAAATGCCTGAAGTTAGCTATTATACTCACCAGAACAACTACATTAAGCTGTAGTTGTTCTGGTGACTATAGTGTCCCTTTAAGCTGTCCACTTTGAGTAGCGCTATCACTTTCATCTCCCTTTTTGTAATGTTAGGCAGAGATTAGCCTCTAATAATCCTATAAATCCAAATTCTACAACTGTACATATTTATAGGTAGGTATTTGCCAAAAAGGTCTGTACATATGACAGCCAAGCTTGGTACTTCAGAAATTTTTGTATTACATTTTTTACTCAAAGCTAGTTGAGCATCATGGGAAATGCAATTCAGAAAATTCAAAAACATCTGGGGTATTAAAGGGACACTAAAGTCACCTATACCAATTCATCTCAAAGTGGTCTAGGTGCAGCGCCCCCTGAGGTTTTAGCCCTGCAATGTAAACATTGCTTTTATGTAAATATTGCTAGTAAATATTGCTAGTAGATACAGCAATGGTTTTATTAAAGGGTTAAACACTCCTCTTGTGGCTCTTTTCTTTTTTTTTTTTATGTGTTGGGGGTGGGGAGGAATGGGGAGGTGAGGAAGGAGCTCTAATCGAGAAGAGCTATCTGTGGCATGTGTGTATATACATGTTTACCTAATGCTATAGTGTTTCTTTAAAGGTAGCTGTATGAATAAATGTGTGTATGTATTTTATGTCATATATTGTATATTGTGTGTGTGTGTTGTAGCTTTGTATGGAGAAATCTATGTGTGTGTGTGTGTGTATGTTTTGTCATGTTTATATTTTGAAATTATTATTTTGAGACGCTAGTATATGTATTTAAGTCAGTCTGTTCTATTTCAGTTAAATATAAAATCTGATTTATTTGTTTTTCAAAGTAAATAATAATGACGAGTGTTTAATTTTGTGCCATCTTTCATGCATTTTTAATGTGTGGGTTTTGGAGAGTGGTTTTCTTGGCCACAACCTCACTACATTTAGGAGGATGCAATCCTAAAAACCTTTAAAAACTGGTCAATAGCTGTGGATAGCTTGAAATTTCTTTTTTCCTTTCATGCCATCTGTCCTTCATAATATTTGTTCCCCAGTAGTCAGATACTTATTTTGTTTGTTTATTTTTTTTAAGCTCATTTGTTTTTCGAAATATATTTTTAACGTGCTGAGTTGTTGAATATATAGTAGATAAGCAAATAAGCTCAACTTGTAAAAAGTATTTAGTAAAATATGCATTTTTCCAGCACAAATAACTTGCACGCTGTAATAATGTGAATAAATGTAAAATATTACAACCAGTGACAAAAGTGGTAAAATAAGAATACAATGGACCATTTAAAATAAGTCACCTCTCAAGTTGCTGAAATTAAAGAGAGGAGGGTAAATCGCCACTCAGTAGTTCCACATTTATCACCTTGCTGATTAGGCAAATCTCTTCATATCTTGGAACTCCTGTCTCACTCGATGTCAGGAAAGGTTTAAAGTAAGACGACCACCCACATAATGAAATTAAAGTAATTTACGGGAATATGCATGTCATTCAGAAGTTCAGATGTATTCTTAAAATAATGTTAAAGGTTTACTCCAAGCATCATGAGTTCCTCTGTGATTTAAAGTGGTTATGGTGCCTGCAGTCTGTATGGGCAGCTTTTCACTTTGAAATGCTGCACATACAGCGTTTAAATAAACTGCACCTCTAGCAGCTTCTTTGGGGCTGAGTAATGTCAATTTTGTGCATATTTGTTTGCACAGAATTGCATTAAATGGCTGGGACCGACCGGTCAGCTTATGCTCTCATCCAATAAATGGGATGGACTTCCAGATTCTGCAGAAGTCAGATGTTGTCACTGGCCACAGGGGGAGGAGTCGGCACCCATTGGGTTCTAAGAAAGAGGGCAAACTGTTACAGAAATTCTATAATGCTTGGAGTAACCCTTTAAGAAGCCAGAAGCGTGTATGTAGAACACTTCTCTCATCACTATTTCATCTAACTAAGCAACAGATATGGTGTGGTCCTAAAAATACACATTTTTATTATTTAAAGAGCAATTGTCACTTTCCTTTTATCATTTCCTTTTCCCCTTACCTATGTAAACACTATTGAAGCATTTTATTGGGATGTGGAGTATAGTGGAGACAATTATAAATTGCACCTCAAGACCAATGTGCTAATATCATTCCAGTATTGAGTACGAAAACCTCAAAACTGTTGCTCTGGACTGGTAGATGTTTGCCAGCATGTCATGTGACCCATGAGTGCATTTTCTAAGACCATTAACTAGCCCTTAGGATAAGGTTAACTGTCCATGTATTGGGTGCTTGTGGGAAAACGCCCACATACATTTACAGCTGTTAAACATCTGTCATTCCAGAACTGTGGAATACTGGCTCTTATTTGTCCATTAGCATGTTTGTAATAGAGTTGAGTGCCAAAGGTTGCCTACCCCTGCTCTAATACAAGCATGATTATACTGGAGTGCATTATACTGTATATAGATTTTTAATGGCATTGCTGCTATTTGTCTCTTATTCACTGGTCACGAAGCCTTTAAAGCAGGCTTCCCCAAACCCCAGCCCTCCAGATGTTGCTGAACTACAACTCCCATGATTCTATGAATGAAATAGGCTGAGAATCATGGGAGTTGTAGTTCAGCAACATCTTAAGGGCCAGAGTTTGGCGAAGCCTGCTTTAAAGCATGGGTGACCAAAAGGTAGATCCTCTTTCAGGTAAAACCATGTAAGTTGTGCTTCTAGAACAGCTGGGGATCAATCTTTTTAATCACTTTAGCTTTAAGCAGTGACCAAGTACATATAAATACTTTATACTGTTAAAAATACTGGAATTTTAACATACTTGATAACCAGTATATATACCAGTCTACCAAGAGTTTATATTTCGTATAAAAAAAAGATAAATGTAAATGTTTTTTTCGTTTAAGAAAAACTAGCTTTTAAACTTCAGTGAGTTTAGGTTTTCTTTTTTTTTAATTTTACTTGTAGTGTAGCTATGCAACAGCTTAGGGTGGGGCACTGAGATTAATTCAAGGAAATTGTGTTTCCTTTTTAATTCATGCTTTCTACAAACAATGGCTTGCTTTTACAAAGGCTGGCTGTGTCTGAAAAGCCCTGTGTCTTTAAACCCTGTATTCAATCCCCCATTGTGTATCTTACGCACAAATGTCCTCATTCTTAAAAGGAAGGTACATTGTTGTACGTGGGGAAGATTACTTATTGAAATATTCTATGCTAATCTAAATCTTTATTTAGTAATGCTTGTTTAACAATCATAACAGCAAAGCCTGTTTTGGCAGCACTTTGCAAAGCTGTTGGCAAAAACCTTACTTAATCCTATATTCAGATTCAGACTGGATAGAATGATCAATTGATTTTTTTTTGTACCTGGTTGAACTAGTAAAATATTGATTGTGTGCTTTCCTTTGTTATAGTAGATTGTCTTGCAAGTTATTTTCAAAATGTATTTTTTCTATTATTAAAGGAGACATGTTGTCCCAGTATATAAGTGACTTGATTCTTAGCTCAGAGTGTGCTGATAAGCTGGAGGAAATTCTAAATAATGTTTGATAGTTTGTACTTGCCTTGTTAAGGTTATTGATTTGATCTGGTGGGTAAAAAAAAAAAAAGGGATAATTTTATATTCTAGGAATGGTGTTTAAAGATTCAGATATGTTCATGGTTGAGTAGCCTCTTTCATAACCTTGTGCAAGAAAAAAAAAACCCCATACATTTGACATGTTTACAGCTTAGCGAAACATTGCTACTTAATTGTGGTAGGCTGGGATCTTGTTCTGGGTTTGCAAAAACTGGACCACTCTTATACACATAACTCTAAAGCTTGTAAAAATGTGGTTTCTTGCTTCATATCAGAAGTGCTGAAAGGACAACTGTTACCTTCAAAACTATTTTAATCTAATTATCCTTACATCAGGTTTTGAAATTAAATATATATATTTTTTGATATATATGTAAAAATTCGAAAAACTCATCTGTTCCTTTTAGTATATGACAGGATGCTGCAGCCATATTCAACATGCACATTGGGTCGGATAGTGTTTGAAAACCGACAGTGTCTCTGTTCTTCTCTGCTTCTGTGTAGGGAGTGAATAAGGAAAGATCATGGAGATTGTCGGTGTCCAAACCAAGCCGCACGTATATGGCAAGAGCATCCTGTCTTATACTAAAGGGAGGGATGAGTTTATTTTGTACAAATGCTTAATTGCAAAAAAATAAATAAAAAAAAATCTATTTTCAAAACTTGATTAAAGGATTATAATATAAAATAGACAGTTGTCCTTTAAGTCAGTACTCAAGGATCACCAATAGTCTTTTTTTCTACTGGAGCCAACATAAAGGCCAAGACTGGTTCTTGACCATGTCATGAGATGTGTGTCCCTTAATATAAAAATGTGATAATCAACACACAGGAAGTTCCTCTTTCCAGGAGAGCATGATGCCAATGGTTTCGCAGTCTTTTATGCTTGTTTAATCCAAATATGAAATTGTCCATCACAACTCTGTAGTGGTGTTTTGTTTTTGTTTTTTTTAAATACATTAATACATAAATGTTCAGACGCTCTATGCTATGTTACTCAGCAAGCATGCTTAAAATTCTTTAAAGGAAGCTGAGACAGCAAAAATAAGTATTTTGACAAAAATTTGAGTCAAACTCAGATTTGAATTATTTTCTGGGTAGTACGTGTTTTTTTTTTTTCTTTTCATTCTGAGAAAAATATCATGGCGCCCTTGGCTATGCCTGGTTTACTAATGTTAGCATTTTCACCTGTCTGTCTGTAATGTACGTAGGGTGTCACTTGAGTGCAAATGCTGTCATTGTTGGAATGGCATTGGTGGTGCTTTCCAAGTGCTTCCTTGTGGACATTCACCAAGGCTGGGTTCCTGATTAGACTGCTTGTCAGGAGGAAGTTAAATGGTTTTTGCAATATTTGTATGAGAGACGAAAAAAAACAAAAAAAAAACATTTAAAACCTTTAGGCAGTGAAGCGAATTCAGATCCTTTTGAAAACATGTACTTTTTTTCTGCCTGCCTCTTTAACACAGACTATAGGGAGAATTGTCAGGACTTTAAAGCGTATTTCAAATTTAAGGCCAAAATAACAGTTTGGCAGAACTTTTTGGCTATTTTGGTCTCAAATTACAAATTCCTTTTGATTTCCTGTCAATTCTTACATTGGGAAAGCCGGTTTGTAGTGAGGATCCATCCAATCTTTTCAATTCCATTAGAAGTGCACTATTTTGTGTTGAATTGTATTTATTTGTCTTGTACATATGAATGTGCAGCGCACTTTATGCTTGTTGACAATAATCTTTTTATTTTACATCTGCTATATTTTTTCGTTGAGTATGCTTGACTGTCAGATTGTGAGTCCCTCAAATTGCACTCAATTCATATCAAAAGATTAATATGTATATTGAGTAAGCTGTGGAAAGAGGCTTGCGTATTTCGACAAGATTTACCACTGCTTTGATACACTGTGACATTAACATTCAGCAGTGAATTATATTGGGTTAGAGTAGTATTTCCAAACCAATACATAAATATCCTTGAGATCAACAGTTACTGTAAGTGCTGTTGTGGAGTTATTTGATTTGAGAATTGAGAGTACAGCCTGGGTTTACTCCTTGTGCATTAACAAAGGTCAAGTGAACACATGCTGCATTTTAAATCTATAATGGACGTCTGAAGACTGCCTTAAACCAATCACGTGAGTTCTCCCTATGACTGATTGATCCCTAAGGGCTGGGCCTTGCAAGTAAGGTCTCGGCATGAATGAGCTTAGCATAGTTTGAAATTTCATTCATAAAATCGAGAAAGGGAAAAAAAAAAAAACTGTTCAATAGCAGAGAGCTGGAGGGTGTTGTGTTCCTTCATCTCCTGTGCTTGCCAGATAACTTGAAGCAATTATTCATATTTGGAGGCTGTGCCAATATGTTATATGACTCCGTTTAATGTACCTCTGTGTTTTCAATGTATAGCGAAGCAAAAGACTGAATTCTGAACTGAAGATAAACAGGAACCGGTTGGTCTGAATTCCATTCAAATATGTCATTGTGTTCATGCTCGGTTTGTGAAGCTTACAGACTGGGACGTTTAGGGGAGTTACAGGTAGACTGCAGTTTAAACATGTAATAGACATGCAGCTACACAAAAGGAAAATATATTGAATTAATTTATTTCTTTATACACCAGGCAGGTTATGCTTGCATTCTACAGAGTAATACGTTTTGTTGACACAATGATTAGTGAGGGGAAAAAATAGAGGATTTATTCCTAATTTTTGTGTAAAGACTCAAATTTGTGCTTTTCTTCTGTTTTATTTTTATGTGCTTATTCGTGTATATCAGAATGCTTTAACCATACTCTGAAAAAAAACCTGGAAAGTTTGCAAATGTAAAAAAAACTATTTTATTTGCCTTTTGCCTTTACACCTAAAATCACACCACTTTCATCTAACTGGGATGTAACCGTGTTGGTTAGAAGCACACAGTAAAAACAAAATGCCTTCACAATCTTTAACCCCTTAAGGAGCACAGATGAAATCATTACATGACAACACTCTATGAATGTTTCTAACTGCCTCTACCCAGTAGATGCTGCTGAAGCACCAACTGGGGGTGAGTAGAGCTGCAGACATAATGTCCCTCAGCTAGCATTTACTTAGCTGTCTATGCCAAATCCACATGTGTAACCATTTTTCTTTACATATGTAAAATAGCAAATCAGAGCTCCTTTTAAATAATGCAAAGTGTGGGCCTAAATTGTTTTGGGAAGCATATTTGAGATTGATGGGAGTTACAGTCCACACTCCACTTCCAAACGTGTTGAGCCCTTCCCAGTGTCCCTACAGCATTTAATACTGCCTGTCACTGCCAATAGCGTTCATGTGTTTTTTTTTCTATTGCTTTGCTTGTCCCATGCCAAACATATCGACTTGTTAACTCAACCTTTAAAAGTGAATTTTGCCTAGAATTAAATTATGTGCTGTGATACAGCATCTAACCAATTATCTGGATTTTTTTATTATTTTTGTCAAATTTGTGTTTTAGGTAAAAAAATTTGAAAAATATATTAATTTACAAAATAGGTGCTGAGATAGACCCTGGATTGGCCTTCCAAACAGTGTTTAAATACATTGCATTGATTCCTTTTTCTTTGCACAGCCATGTAACACATTGCAGCCTCAAAGAAACAATATATTGTGTCTTGTACCAGTCCACAACAGCTGCATTATAATGCAGACCTCGAGGACACAGAAGATTCTTTGCCTACAGCCATATGAGCTGGCAATTCAGCTTTGTCATCACACATGTGTGATAACAATTAAGTAGTTTGTTCATCTCTTTTAAACTTCATTTTTTTTTTCTCCAAAGTGATATAACAATTGTGCATCTTTTATGTAAACTGATAATAAATCATGTCCATATGGAGTTGAAATAAAGCTGTTTCTAGTTTTATTATTCTAACCCTTGATTCTTCTAACCCTTTAACTTTTGACAAAACAGAATATTAAATATTTTTCTTAGTGGCGTCCACATGCCATAGGGCACACAAGTTCTCTATGGACTGTGCTAGGCAAAAAGCTAGGATTATTTTAACATTATTTTAAAAAATTACTCCAAGCTAAAACAGTTTGTTTGTTTTTTTTTTTTCCCAGTGATTTTAATAATACATTGCAGGGTGGTTTTTTTAGATCACTTTTACCCCGCTGGCATGAGCTTTTTAAGATCTCTTTGCAGCTTGATTTGCCTTCCATGTTGTCACTCGCCCATCCCCTTTTCGTCTTCCGTAACATGCATCCTATGCATCTATGCATGCAGGCGACGGCTCCCTCTTATGTTATGAACAGATTTGGTGTTCGCCAGCCCGAAACTTTCATTCGGGCTACTAATATAGCTGCTGAAAGTGTTGCTACATGTCTATCAGCAAAGTGTGTTTACATCTGTATTTGTATAATTTCTTACTGAAACACTACACATACAGAATCAAAAGACCATGACCACTTCAAATCGCTAAAGTGGCCATGGTGCTCTTAGTGTCCCTTTTAAGATCTTAGATTGACTCTCAATACCACTAACAGAGCGGTCTAATTTACATTTTAAAGTACATCAAAGTGGCACTAAGCCACTTTTAAGCTAAATCTAACATTTTAATATGTCGATTTTCATTTTCTGGAACTTGTGTAGACTAACTTTTTTTATTTTACATAGTTTTAGGGTACAAAGATGCAGACTACTAAACTACGACTGTTATTTCATCATATTATTGTTATTAATACTGTTACCAGTAGATAAGCATGATGTATATTTAGGGCATTCCGTGGAGAAAATTTGTTTTCTGGTCTGGTTTTTTTATTTTTTATTCTATACATTATTTTTACCATACTGTGTTTTATTTAAGTGGTGAGGTGAGTGATAACGTCAATTCTCTGTAATCTATTTTTAATATCTCAGATATGGAAGTGGAATGAAGATAGTCTTTTAAATTACGTTTACGTTGCTTTAGTCATGTCTTAATCATAGGGAAAAAATACAATTAGTATTCCGCATATACTGATTGTTTGCTTTGAAGTAACCCTGTTTAACCAGTGCAAATAGTTCTGTGTTTTGCATCAACATTTAGTACAGTTTGAAACTGTAAATGCTAAATTTCATTGATGTGACTTGTTATTAGATAAGGTAGAAATGAAAGCAGCAGGCAATTTAATTAGCTGTAATTTTTCTGGGCAAGTCATTACTTTGATGAACTTCAGAGCAATGTTTATGGCTCCTAATTAACCATGTTAGTCATTTGATTGAATAATCACTTTGGAAATGTTTCTGCAATTTGATTAGGGCCTGACCCACTCTGATAGTCATAAATTAACGGTTAGACCTTTTGGCGCAATGAAGGGACGTAGGGTAATCTGCAGGGGACAGGTCAGCTTAATAGTGTCTTCAAGAGAAAAGGTTACGAACTTTTGAATAACCTTTTGGTAAAAAATTAAAGTAATATAAATATATATATATAAAAAAGGAAATTTAGAAATTCATTATGCATCTACCTGTCTTATTGTACAAAAAGGAGTAAAAATATGTTTCAGAAACTGACAGGTTTCAGTAAATACATTATTTTACATTTATTATTTGGCTATAAAAATCAGTAATTTCTGCATGTCTGTAAGAATCCGTTGGCTGTACGCACTACAGCAGTAGCTATTTGTAGGTATCAGACATCAGAAATACCAAGTTAATTTTAAAGGGTTACTTGAAGTACCATGACCACTTCAGTGATTTGAAGTGATCATGGTGCCTTGGAGTCTGTATGTGCAGTGTTTCAGTATGAAACTCTACCACAGAGAGTTTAACCACTTTGCCTTAGGAGATGTAACTTCACCTCCAACAGCATTATTGTGGCATCATTAGGCAGCCTGGAACAAATGTCCGTTTTGTAAATCTTCAACATCTAACGTCAACACGTGCAGCATGCCTACTCCATGACGCCTGTATTCCCCCTACACGTCAATGGGTGAGGGGAGATATTGGCCTCAGAACTGGAACAAAGGTGTGTGGTTTTTTTTTTTTTTAGGATAGGAAGGGTTAATCCAAATAAAAACCTGTTTTATTAGAACACACTGTTTTTGGTTGGATTAACCCTTTCAGATCTAACCCTCTAGCATGTAAGCTCATTGAGCAGGGCCCTCAACCCCTCTGTTCCTGTGTGTCCAACTTGTCTGGTTACAACTACATGTCTGTTCGTCCACCCATTATAAAGCGCTGCGGAATTTGACGGCGCTATATAAATATAATAATAATAATAATAATACTGGAATTAATCGTTTCTATAAAGATAGCTAAATAAAAATCTGGTGGTAAAAATTTATTGTATCTCTGTTTTTAAATATATTTATTTTTAACTTATTTGAGCTTAATCATTTTTTCGTATATGGTAGCGAGAAGTTCTGGCACTCAAAGGATTAATCTTCTTCAAACCTAAAGTTGTTTTTTATGTTTATGGTAATACCAGGCATGGTCACCATGCCTTGCATCTATTGATTTGTTGTTGGTACGTACAAACGTAACATTTTCTGCATTTTGCCATATTCCTTTTTATGCTTCTGTTTGTTTGTGTTTTTTTTTTTTGCCATGTGGGCAATACATATTTACTGACTTTTTTTGGAAGCACCTTGTTAATAATTTAGGTTTTAATGTGGACAGTTTCAAAAGCACTAGTGTTTATTTTGGCTGTCCTGAATTTTAAAGCCCCATGCTCAGCAAGTTCTACATAAGCTTGAAACATCAAGATACAATGATCATGTCTACATTATTTATATGGGTTGCAAAATATTTAATATATCAAATCAAAGTTTAAAAAAATACTGTGCTGAATGTTTCACTATAAAGTCATTTGTTTTAAGTATATCTATTTTCTATGTAGGTTTTTTTTTTTTTTTTATTCCTTTAGGTTTGGCCAATTTGTTTGTCTATTGTCAGTTTACCGCAGTTCATTAAAGCATATAGTCTTGTATTTTTAAATTCCAAACTCTTCGCAAATAAACATCTATCTAAATTCTAAAACCTATGTAGCTCTTCATCTCTCATGTTCGAATTGTGCTTAAGCCATTTTGCAGGTTACGTTTCTGGCTATGTGGCAGCACAGACAATAATTTAATTATTGGCCTGGAATTTGAGAAGCGTAATTAATTCTGAAAAGAATGGGCTGTAGGAAAATGAAACAAATGTGAATCACCGTTGGTTAAAAAGAAAAAAGGGAAAAAAAAAATCTAAGTGCTATTTAAAGTAAAGTGTGATTGCCAAAGGAGTTGACCTTTAGCAAGGTTGATTATACTGAAAGTTTGAGTTCAAGTGACTGCGTTAGATAAAATCAATGTTCTTCATATCCTCGGTTCATTTTACAGTGCCATGTGCGTGTCTTGGGAAACGCTAAGAATGTGTTGACAGGTTACCTTTTGCCACAACTTATGTCCCTTTCTGTTACTCTTATGTCTGCAGTCTGTCTCATTGATAACCTGCATGCTTTCAGTTACAGACACTCCTTTGCTTAGCTTTGTTTTATCCTCTTTTCAGAAGTGCCTAGCTGTCATTCCATTTATATGAGGCAAGAAGCTTACCTCACTCACCCTGGTGGAGCAGAAGGTATGTCGCCATCTTTTTTTTAAAAATATATATTATTGCTATAGAAATCCAATTTCTTTCCATTTCATGTATAACCTTCTTTCTGCATTTAATTCTAGGTTGCATGTTTGAAAAAGGGCCCCGGCAATTCTTTGACGACACATGTGTTGTTCCTGAAAAGTTTGATGGTACGTATGGTTACCTGCATTGTATATTTTGATTTTATTGACGTCATTGAATGCTTACTCACAAGAGTAGGTTATTGACCTCTGAACGTAATCTGCACTTGAAGACCATTCCATTAGTGTTGGCATTTCACTACAAATTAAAGATAATTTATATTGGACCATTGCTTGGTCGCAAAATCACAAAACCAATGTTTTTCCACCATATATTTATTAACGATCACTCTTGTTCCTGTAGGGGGAGTAGTTTCCCCTGAATGAAAAGGGAATTTCCAATTTTAAGAACAAGTACAACCACATCATGTGTAAAATCGGAAATGACAATCCCTTTAAGGTAATCCCTATCCTCCAACCCCGTAGAACAGAGCTATACTCTTAAGTCCTGTCACCTGGTGTAGTACCTTGATCGTTTTGTGAAATAACTAGAACATTTGTCTTGTGTATAGCTGTATCTAAAGCAATGCAGGTTTGAAAAGCCATTGGTTTGTAGCATAGGAATGCTACAAACCAATGGGCAACTGAGATTGGTGAAAGTTACATGGAGATGGTGGCTGGTCCAGACAATTTAGAATGTCTAAGTCCATTTTTCAAGGAAATATTCACCACAATTTGCAGAATGACAGACATATAGAATTAAACATTGAGTTTTAGGTTTATATCATGTTTCTGGATAGATTATGTAGGTTCACTGACTAGCATGACTTTTTAATGAGACAGAGTGTTGCATGATATCAATGGAGTCATTTTAAAGGACCACTATAGTGCCAGGAAAACATACTCGTTTTCCTGGCACTATAGTGCCCTGAGGGTGCCCCCACCCTCAGGGACCCCCTCCCGCCCGGCTCTGGAAGGGGGAAAGGGATAAAAACTTACCTTTTTCCAGCGCTGGGCGGAGAGCTCTCCTCCTTCTCTCCTCCTCCGTTCCTCCTCCTGGGTTGAATGCGCACGCGCGGCAAGAGCTGCGCGCGCATTCAGCCCGTCGCATAGGAAAGCATTTACAATGCTTTCCTATGGACGCTTGCGTGCTCTCACTGTGAAAATCACAGTGAGAAGCACGCAAGCGCCTCTAGTGGCTGTCAATGAGACAGCCACTAGAGGATTAGGGGGAAGGCTTAACCCATTAATAAACATAGCAGTTTCTCTGAAACTGCTATGTTTATATAAAAAATGGGTTAACCCTAGAAGGACCTGGCACCCAGACCACTTCATTAAGCTGAAGTGGTCTGGGTGCTTAGAGTGGTCCTTTAATATATATAAATAATGTATCGGGTGTAAGGTCCTGATCAACGCTCTACAATTTGTTTTGTGGGTGACTTTTGATTCAACTTTTGATTAATCTACGCCCAGTATCTGGTTTGAGAAAGGCACAACCAATCCAGGTTTGTGATTCATATTGTTGTGAAAGCAGTGGAATAAACTTAGAAACATAGAATGTGACGGCAGTGAAGAACCATTCGGCCCATCTACTCTGCCCAATTTTCTAAATCCTTTCATTAGTCCCTGGCCTTATCTTATAGTTAGGACAGCCTTATGCCTATCCTACGCATGCTTAAACTCCAGCGCTTAGCATGGGATTACACTATGCTAGCCATGTACACATTTATTTGTGGATGATGAAACCATAATTTAGTTTGTGTTTGTCATGGATATAAGGTTCACTATATGTATATATAACATTATCATGGCATATAAGATGAAATGTGTCAAAAGTCACATATTTAATCCTATAATAAAGCTAGGAGACAGGTTGTTAGTTTTTTTGTTTTTTTTTTAAGTGTTTTTTTTATTCACTTTATTACAAGATTGATCAGAATTTTTTTTTGTTTTGTTTATTGTTTTTTTCTTTGCAAAACCCGTCCGCAGCTGCAACTCATTTATATGCAGAAGGAGCTTGCATATTGTTGCTTTTCAATGCATCCCAGCACTGGCACTGGGAGGGTTAATTAATCTTGTCATGTGATTGTGACAGGCATCTATAGTTAGTAGGTCAGCTGGAGTACAAAATGAGCAGCTAATTGCTTTAGCTGGTCTGGTGAATTAGTCATTGCGTTTCTGAAAACTGCTCACACACTCCAAGGATTCATTGGAGACAATTTTCATTAGAAGCTTGTTGAAGTTTCTGAAATAAAAATTGCCAACATGTGTGATATAATACAATTGGTTCATGCAACAAAACAACAAGGTAGCAAAAAAAAAAAAAAACAACCAAAAAAAAACATTCCTAACCAAAGATTACTCTTTTTGGATCAGATCCCTGAACAAGTGATCAGATCCCAGAGTTTGTGAGAACATTGTCACAGGATTGTCATTCTGAGACTAGCCCCTATACCTCGTGAGTTAAAATTTAGTCCTGGCGAGTAGAAAATCACCCTTGATGAGGGTGCCATGGATCCACCAGGCATTGGTGGCGAGCATCTTTTAAGGCCTGGCTAGTAGTGTAGCACCTAAAATATCAAACCTTGTTTTAAAGGGACACTATAGGCAACCAGACCATTTAATTTCATTGAAGTGCTCTGGGTACAGTGTCCCTGTAAAACATTGCAGTTTTAGAAAACAGGTTTTATGGCAACAATAAGGTAAAAGCAATAGGTTTCATAGGGTCTCTATTAATTCTTTTTGTTTTTATTTTATAGGAGACATTAAACAGGAACCAGGATTATACCGTGAGGGGCCGACTTATCAGAGGAGAGGTTCTCTTCAGTTGTGGCAGTTTTTGGTTGCACTCCTTGATGATCCCGCTAACTCACACTTCATTGCATGGACAGGCCGAGGCATGGAGTTTAAACTCATTGAACCGGAGGAGGTAATTATTATTTTATTTATGTTTTTTTCTTTTTTCTTTTATTTTTTTTATTAAAGCCATGAACATCTATTACTGAGAGAGTGGTTAAAGATGTGGTTCTTGAGCTCCGTGTCTCCATTCAGTGATTTAAGTATGGCTCTACAGTATTTCACCATACTCAAAACACTATGAGAAACCCAAAAATGCTACACTTGTGCGTGTTGGGATCAGATGGCATTTATTAGTGTAGAAACAGTAATCCAATATCATACATTACTGTAATGCTTCACTATTATTTTACTAACTATCACACCAAATGCCAACATAATAAATAAACTATTCAGTGGATTATGTTTATTGGGTTATTGTAAAAGTACTTAAGTCCACAACCTGTATATTAATATTTTGTCTCTTTCTGTGAAAGGTGGCACGTCGCTGGGGAATCCAGAAAAACAGACCGGCCATGAACTATGATAAACTTAGTCGTTCTCTGCGGTACTATTATGAGAAGGGAATTATGCAGAAGGTGAGACCCAAGGCCTTTTTACATTTCTGATATTTACAACTTTTCTAATTCTTATTTTGTCCAGTTTTAAAATTCTTTGGCTTAACTGCTTTGCAACTTTATTGATGGCTATATCATCCTGAGATGAACAGTCCATTTAAATATATCTCAGTTGGGTAAAAAGAAGGTGGACCTAGGCTAGTCAATGCGTTTCCATGAGTCGTAAACACGGTCTTTAGCTTAGCAGTTACTTTGGAACCAATGGAACAGATAAATTACACCAAGATAGATGTCGGTAAAATAATTGTATTGCAAAGAATAGCTTGAGAAGTGAACTTTAATTTGATATTGAACTTATTTTCTGACAAATTGTAAACAGTTAAATATGTATTTTGCATGATCAAATACAAACGTACTCAGAATGAAAATGCATATATATTATTTAAAACCTTTTTTCCCCCCAAAATAACATAATTTTACCTTTCTTTTGCAAGGTTGCTGGAGAGAGATATGTGTACAAATTTGTCTGTGACCCGGAAGCTCTCTTCTCAATGGCTTTCCCAGATAATCAACGGCCATTACTGAAGACCGATATGGAACGGCACATAAATGAAGAGGACACCGTCCCACTGTCCCATTTTGATGAAAATATGACATACATTCAGGATGGTGGCTACTGTAATACCCATCCATATAATGAAGGATATGTGTATTAAGAGACAGAAAATGATCAACTTCATTTCACGTTCCTTCTTTTCAAGACCCAAGAAAAGCAAAATATACTTTTTTATATATAGTAGTTCATAAATGGGCTTTTCCTGTTGCATATCTCCTATGGTCTGCCATGGACAGAGCACTTTATTTGCAGGAAATTGGATGGAAATGTATACAATGTATGTAACAGGTTTAAAAAGATGGATATACTATTCATTTATGCTTGGGAAGGGAACTTAAAGGTTTAAGGTACTTCATTACTAAATTGTGTCTGTCTTTTTTATATGAGCTTATACTATGTTGTACATTTTTTTTCTGGAAATAGAGGGTACAGTTAATTTTTATTGTGTAAATAGCTGCTTACATTTTTTAATCAATGTATTAATTTCCTGCCCAGTTTACTTTATGTATTTCTTAAATTTGCACGACATATTTTCTGATCCCTTAGGGTTATCTCCCTATATTTGTTCATTTTATCTTTGTATTTATTTATGTTTGGAATTTTGTCACTTTCAAAAGTTCCATTCATGACAACGGACATTCTAAATTTCCGGCCTTAATGGAAAGCCAGGCTTTGTTTATTTGTATGCCTTTGGTGCCATGAAGCCAGTAACAATAGCTCTGTTGATAAATGCACCAACTGCAGAACCTGTGCAAACCTCAGGGTTGCAGGTTCTACTAAAAGATTAAATTCGGCCTTCCATGCGTTTAGGTTTTATGAAGACTACCATTGATTTGGATAATGATAACTACTTTTAGTCAACAATTTGGATAAGCCTGATAGTATTTGCTGAGCATATCCTGAAGAAGTGTATCAAGGCAATGAACAATGCTTGTCGTTTCAAGGCCTTTTGTGGTGAAACAAAGACATGTATTGTAGGCATGAATGGGGGAGTGGGGATTAAATATACTTTCCCTTATCCCCCATATTTTGTAAACAGGTTATTTAATCAATAGAAATTAACTGTACTCCATCACATATCATAATAAGCTGTTGTAGATACAGCAAGCACTCCTTGGAAAAAAATATCCAATACACTAAATAGGTACTTTCAGTAATTTTTAGAAATGGTACCCACTATTATGCATTTAAGCCTTTAACTGCTGTTATGTTGATAACATATATAAATATTAGATACTGCTTCTGCTGCTGTCTTTTCTGTATTATTCTCTTTGATGCTGAATTTACTAAAATCCTAATAAGCATTGCTGTAACTACAGGTAGCATTTCAGGACAAAATAGATGACTTGAATCATTTATTGCTTAGAATTAGCTTAACTGTGCTGCAATCTACTTTTACTCGCATCCACAAATGACTAGTAAGCTGCTTCTTGCTGGGGAAGCTTGGCAGGATTTTTATATCTTTGATGGATTAGAGACTTTTGCCTATGTACAAATAGAAAGAGAATACAAGGAAGACGCTGAATTATGTGTTATCAACCAATTTTTTTTTATTTTTTTTTGGAGGGATGGGTTGGGTTGGATGTTACTTATAAATGTGCACAAATACTCCTGCAAAAATATCCCAAGGTTACATTTTTGGAGTTTTGCAATGTTTTATTTTTAAGTGAGAGACGTGTACATAAAAGAATATGTATTGAAAAAAAAATATGGGAACTTTTTTGTATTTTTTATTAAACCTTTTTTTTGTTTTTTCATTTTTAGACGAACCCTGATTTAAAATTGACTGTTAGAGACAAATTAAACATAATTGTTTTAAAATACCTAACTGGCATGGGTATCAGGAGCAAACTGTAAGAGGCTAATTCTACAATTAAGACTAGACTTGCTATATAAGGACTTATAAGTAGCATGCTGAATGATACAAGATCAATACGCATTTTATTGTAAATGTAGTCATTCAGTTAAAGATATTAATACGGTTTTCATGTATATCCATATCTTTAAAAAAAATGTGTAATGTAATAATTGCAAGAAATTAACAGCCCATATATGTTTTTTTCTTTTTACTCTGGATAACAATTTAAAGGGAATTATCATGAAGTGATTTTTTTTTTTTATTTTTATTTTTTTTTTATACCACCTTTGCATCCAGGAAAATATTGTACCCTATAGAAAGGACCTATAACCCCATATTTTAAAGTGCATTTTGCAATTTATTTGGTTTTTCTGCATATTCACTGAACCGCTCCAAAAAAAAAAAAAAAAAAATACCTGAAGGAAAGTGACCTGAACAATATGTAGAGTGATGTCACTCAGATGCTACATATTGTGTAAACAAATTAATTGTTGCACTAGAGATAGATGGATTTGGAGAAGATGGTTGCTGATGTTACAAAGTTTTTTTAGTTTTTTTTTTTTTTTCTCTCACAATTTTAGTGTGTTTAATAAATGAATTCAGGCATGCTTCCTGATGTCACATGGCTTCCACAACTATGCCTGACAGTATCACTTCCTAAAAGCAGTCTATTCGTTTTAAACACTCTCAGGCTACACATTCCCAGCCATTTAAAAAAAAAAAATAAAAAAAAATATATATATATATATATATATAATTTTTTTATTTTTTTTTTGGGGGGGGTAGTCTCTCCCCTTTTTTTTTCTTTTTTTTGGCAGCACAGTAAATAGTCTGTAGAAAAAATAATAATAGAGACAGAGTTTATTCTTCTTCTTCAAGCTCAGCCACATGAAGAATGTAATTCCAAAAGTAAACTCACAAAAAAACAATACATTGTATTCTAATTTGAAGCAATAGGTAGTAGTAGATTAGACTGTTTTAATGTATATAAGATTTATACAAATATTTGATCCCTAAATGTCAAACTTTTTCTTTGCTACAGAGTTTAATTTGTAAAAAAAAAATTTAAATGTATATGCATTTTTATCTGCTATAGGATCTATATGAAAGGCCAAGGGTATATATACATTTAAAGTCGATATGATTTGTAAATTGTGTCATCATATTAATCATCACTAAATACAGCCATTGTCATATTTTGCTCAAGGTTTGCAAATTTCTTTTATCTGATCCTATACATTGTTTGAAATAAATTTAAACCGTTTTATGAAGAATTAGCCTCACTTCCATATCCACTTCCATGGGTCACCTCCCTGTATCTACTTAATTAGGCAAGTAGAAGCTTTCCCTGCAAATCGTTGAATTAACATGTCTCGGGGATGTGAGATTTTTGGCCTTAGCTCATCTATGACATCCAGTCTCACACGTTCATCTGAATTTAGCACCTTTAATACAATTGGAACATGTTTCTTCATTTGCATATACCTTTTACAGATCCAACGGAATGGCACAGCAAGAGTCATACTGTGAAATAAAATGTGCTTTTGACAAGATTTGACATGCAATCCATAATTAATAGAAGTTTAATACTGCTGCAGTTTCTTACTATGCTATTGCTCTTTAGCAATCCGGTTATGGGATTCAAATACTCTATTTAAACTGCATGCAAAATGCTAAAGTTCTGAGTCTTTATTGGCAGAAAAAAAGCACAATTTGAACATTATTTACCATGTTTAATGGCACTCACCGTTTATAACTTACAAGCCAAAGTCATAATAAAATCAATGAAGACTTGCAAGTAAAATGCTAAATATTAAGAAATTCGAAATGCAAAACTCCGAAATATTAATGATATCCCTGATTTGCCCATTTGAACAAATGTAAATCCTTATAACGTACTTGGTTATACATATTTTGTTGGTTTTGTTTAATTCAGACAGATAAATAAAGTTGGCAGCTTATTTCTAAAAAAAAAAAAAAAAAAAAGTCTTAACATATCATTAATGAATGCTTGCAAAGTGTGTTTTACAGGAACGTTTTTGTACTTTTATTCAGAGCATTAAACAATAGACATGGGCAAATGCTTGCAAAAAATTAAAATTGTAAAAATAAACCGTTTGCCTCCTATAGGAACTTATAGCAATAATACCTAAAATCCACCTTCCGGCAGATTTTTCACATACACATGCACACAGAAAAATCTATGAAACCACACAATGCTCTGAATTTTGATTATAAAGCATGTATACATTTCATTTTCCAACAAATTTTACTTGAAATATCCATAACAGTCAACCAGGTAAAAATTTTTAAATGTAATTAACTAAAAATATATATTTCATTAGAAAAGCTAAAACTATGCAGTATATTGGTATAAACATAGATAAAATTTAGTGGTATAAAGAAAAAAAAAATAGATTATGTCAATGCCAAGGAACCAATACAAATTAACAACTTTTAGAGGTATACTTTTGATTTCTGTATTTAATACATCTGCTTTGAATACATTATAAACTTATCCCAAAAAAGTGAGAGAAAAAAATAAATAAGGTGTGCAAACTGATTTGGGCCCGACATGGTTATTAGATATTGAAATATGTTAAAGGGATACTGTCACTTATTTGGAACTGGGTTAGTTGATTGGAAAAAAGCATTGCCTGGTCTGAATCGTTTCTTCTGTGGCATGCAGATGGTTAGGTTAGAGATTGGCATAGACCCCATGGATCGATTCTGCCTTGTGGCATGGTGTTGGGAATATTTTTGTGGCACACATTAGGCCCCTTTATACCAGTTGAGCATTATTTAAAAGCCACACACTTGCTGGCCAAGTGAATCCCGTCATCTTCTACCCATCGTCTAATAGCTTAACTAAGCTTCCATCAGGATAATGTGACTTATCAAAAACCACAGGTCCTCTCAACACGTGGTTTAACAAATGTGATAGTGGGTTCAGTATATTCCACCAATCTTCACACCCTGTTGAACTCAATCCAGTACAGCACATTTGTAATGATGTGACAGAAGAGAAATAAGTAGGAGTATGTATATGCAGCAGGTAAATCTGCAGAAACTGTGATGCGATCATGTCCACATGATATGTCTTGCCTTTAATAATATTTTACACCACTACAGTGAAATAAGAACACTTTTTAAAAAAAAATATATATATTTGTTCTAATTTTAGGACTATTTCATGCAGCTAAATAAATACAATGAGGGCACTAGAGTGTTAGGAAACCGATATTCTAACACTATAGAATCCCTTTAAACTAAAAGTTTTGATCTATCTGTGGGAGCAGGTCAAAGACACTTATTATTATTGCCATTTATATAGCGCCAACAGATTCCGTAGAGCTTTACAATATTATGAGATGGGTGATTTAACTATAAATATGACAATTACAAGAAAACTTACAGGAACGATGGGTTTGGAGAGGAACCTGCTCAAACGAGCTTACAGTCTATTACAGTTTTAATGCTAAAAGGATCTTGACAAGCTGAGACTGAAGGAGTAATAACATATTTACTTGAATATAGTCCTTTTTTGGAAAATAAAGTTTTCAAAATTCGAATGCACATTAGATTCTATGGCGCATTACATTCAGGCCAAAATTCTAAAATTTCCGGCAAGTTGCATTCTGGCGAATTAAAACTGGTGAATTCAAACAGAATTTTGTTCCTGAAAGAGGGCTTAAGAAAGAATAGACTTAGCATGTATCACTAAAATTGAAATACCGTCAATGTTACTATGGTATATGGCAATAAACATTTTCATTGTAGCACAATGTTCAATAGTAGTTTCTTGTATAAATGCACATTACGTTCGCCAGCAAAAACATTTTGCAGCTTTCAGATTTCAAAACATGAGGTGCACATTAGATTCAAGTAAATACGGTATATCGTCATGGAACCCAAAACTACTGCACTGAACATGAATTTTTTAAACTAAGGCACCATACACAAGTTATCTACGCATGTTTTCATGCTCATCAGCAGCCATTAGATCATTGCAACTAAAAATGTCAGACCAGTTTCCATGGTCCTTTGTGGTATTTAATGTATGCACATAAGTCAAACCTGCTAAATCTGCAAATCATTAATTTGCACAATTTTCTAAATATCAAATACTTACTACGTGTTTCAATAATGGAGCAACAGGTAGATGCCAAGAAGTCAATTTGCCTCTGCGGTGCAAATATTATTTTCACTGTTCACCAGTTAAACACAGGTCGGAGCTGCCAGGTGTGGCACAGGAGAGTTTTTTTTTTTTTAGTCCTCTGTTGAGAAAGTATTTTATATTTATTATGTTCAATCAACAATAACAGACTAGTATGATCTTTAATAGTACATGGTCATAGTTTAGCCAGGTATCTGTACATACTGTATGTGGGCATTATGCTGTTTAGTGGTTTATGGGAATTGCTTTCAAACTAAAGCTGACAATTAACTGACAGTTACTTGTATTATATAATATTACGGTGAAACATATTACTTTATTCTATAAAGCTACTTGTTCCCTCTGCTATATGGTTCTATTTAAAGCTCATGCAGTATTCTCAGCTGCAACTGGATTATTTCAGTAAACCATGAATTATATTATCTTAAAGTGAACCTGTTTCGACAGATAATGTATGCAGTTGTCTAACCATCTGCCTTGTTTCTTACCTTAATACTATTAAAAGCTCATATTTTAACTTTTGGTAATTTTTATTACCACTGTCTCCTGTTGAGAGCATCAATTATATTTTCAGTGGTTGCTACACTTACTGTAAGACACACCTTTCCTGCATACCCCTGCATGCTCAGATGCTGCAAAAAAGTATTCTGGTTGTTTCTCGCCATGCTGCTGCTGCTGCTCTCATACAGAGCCTGTCCCTCATCCATACTTCCCCTTGCGAGCATTGCTTTCCCTTTAGGCTGAATCCAATTCATGAACTTTCATTAATTTATCATAGCTGTGCAATTGTATGAACTTCCTTATACAAAGCTATTAAATACCCTATGTAGTTATGTTATATTAGCACTATAACTGATGTTGAATATATATGTACTGCTGCAGTGAAAAAAAAAAGTTAACATATTTGGGGGAACCGAGGGTTTGAACAGATGGGTCATATTAATTTTGATTTAAAAAAAAAAAGCATTACATTTTTAAAAACATCATGTGAACATTAACCCACACATCACATATACAACGTGTGGCTGCTAGGTCATCATTTTAAATATGTGTTCTTATTCATTACTTTATTATATTCAGTTATCGATGTATTTATGCTTTCAAGTTTTTAAAATAAATGAGAAATCATAAACAGCCAAGAAATGGACTAAACTTCTCAGATTTAAAAAATGCATGTTCCAGACTGAGCAAACATGTAACATGCAGGTTATTGTTTAATTTCAATTTACCTTTCAAAGTATCTTTGTTCTAGAAATATTGTTTTATTTAATCCCCAACACCCACTGTCTGTCTGGTTTCAGTGTGCTCACAACGGTCCATCCCAACAACAACAAAATTAAAAATATTTTAATTACATTATAAAGAAAACATGCATGTTTTAGCATGGAACATAACTTTTTAAAGAATCAGTAGACCTAGAACTCATGTTCAGCTTGTAGTAAGAGCCAATCAAGATCCATTTAATTTTAAGAGTTATACAATTAACCAAGTTTTGCTTTTAAAGGGACACTATAGTCACCTGAACAACTTCAGCTTAATGAGGTTGTTCAGGTGACAACTATAGCTCTCTGCAGCCTTTCTCATGTAAACACTGTATTTTCAGAGAAAATACAGTGTTTACATTGAAAGCTAGGAACACCTCCAGTTGCAGTCACTCAGAGTGAACCAGAGGGACTTCTGAGTTGATGGAGGCATAATATGCCTCCATCCACTCAGATCTGTTGTGCACGAGCATCCTGTGATTCAGTATCTCCTCCCACTACATGCAGACAATGAACGTTCCTCATAGAGATTCATTGATTCAATACATCTCTATGAGGAGATGCTGATTGGCCAGGGCTGTGTTTGAATCATGTTGCCTCTTTGTCAGTCTCAGCCAATCCTATGGGGAAGCACTGTGATTGGATCAGGCCACCACTTCTGATGATGTCAGCAGACTGCTTGTTTTTCCTGAGTCTAACAGCATGCAGATTTACAGCTTCTGGCTTGAATACAGTAAGATTTTTACTATAATTATGGAGGCATGAGGGGCCCAGGGGGGCTAGATGGTGGTGTTAACACTATAGGGGCAGGAATACATGTAGTTACACTGGTGACTATAGTGTCCCTTTAAATACATTGTGTCTACGTAAGTGTCTTTGACTAAAAAATGTTGTGGCTTTTTGGATCTTCTTTCTCCCTGCACAGTTTGCCCCAACCTGGACTGACATGTTGATTAAGTTATTTTGATACAACCCAGGCTTCTAGGGATTTATTCGCATGTATTTATATTTAATCATTTTGGCTACATTGAGTTTAATCATATCCATACATTTGAACACGAGTTAAAATCTAGATGTATTAGCATAAAGTGTAACTGTCATTTCTCTAACAAAACATTGAAGATCCCTTATAACTTGTGTTAACCTTTTCTGTGCTCTGTTTTCTTTTATATTAAAGATTTAGCAAATTACATTAGAATCCAGTTCAGCTATGGTAAAGCCAGGGTAAACATTGCAAATGAAGAGGAAAAATAGAAATGTTTCAATGTCCTCTTTGTAAGCTTTCTCTATGCCAAATGCCAGGTGCAAAGCAGAGAGCTTATGTTAGTGTCTGACAGAGAGCTAAGGTGGATGCACTCCATTTCAGGATAAAGAAGATACATTTTTTTTTGCATTTAATTTTATTTTTCACACCTTACAAATATTTGTTAACTATAGAGAATAATATTAAGATTTCTCTGAAGTGTTACTTCCCCGTTAACAAAACTGACATTTTAAAACTAAAATAGCCAATCTTAAAAAATAGGTAAGTTAGAGAATTTTTCAAATCAACTATTTTGGGTTAAAATTTATTTTACTCCTCCATCGGCAGCTCCAGCCTAAAATAGCAGCGCCAGAAAACCGTGCAAAGCCAGATGACTCTCAGGGCCCCACGTAGGCAGACACAACTCTGGAGACTGAACCTGTGGTAACAGAGCAAACTCCAACAGACACACAAGACAGGTCAGCCCCAGTCACCAAACAGGTCTTCCACAACCTAGTGGTGGAGATCAAAAACTTACTGGTGGCTGACGTGACGATCTTCTAAGCTGACATACAAGCAGTCACAGAAAAAGTCAAGACCTCAGAGGAGGACATAACAGATCTTAAACGAGATATGTCTTCCCTAAAGGACTCCATACTAAGCTTACACACTTCACAAACAGCGCTGTCACTCCAATATACTGCTCTGGAACACAAGACCCGGTGCAACCACCCTTATAAAATCAGGGGCATACCTGACGCTGCCATACCAGATGAGCTCCCACACTACTTAAGACGCCTTGTGGCTTCTATCCTGCCTCCAGCTCAGGCAAAAAAGTTTACAATCGACGGGATATATCGCCTCCCGAGGTCTGACAGGGCACCTGCTTTGGCTTACTGAGATTTGTTCATCTGCTGCTCACTGTCTCATGACAAATTAATCCTGCTATCAGGTCCGAAGGGAAAGACACCTTATTCTTTTGAAGGTGCAAGCTTCACCTTTTATCAAGACCTCTCACGGTCCACCCTACAGTGGCGCCGATCACTGAATCCTGTCACGGGCAATCTAAGGCAAGCTGGGATCGAATCTGGATGGATGTCACCAAGATTCCTCACGGTTTCACACAATGGGACGGTATATAAGATCTTTACCTTGACAGAATCCCCTGCTCTCTCTGGGGCCTTGGGCCTGATGCTTTTTCAACCCAACACTGAAGGACCGTCAAACATGCGAGCTTGGGATCCATCTTGAATTGTCCCATTCAGCCCTGCCACCCGACCAAATCTACAATCAGGGACTTGATACAACCAGAAGCCATGGTCTATATTAAAAATATGCGGTTCAAGTTCTCATGTTTAGTTCGCTGTTTATTTTACCTTACGCATTTTAAGTTGCTTACAACACATGTAATTCCCTATAGCAGGACTGCCCAACAGGTAGATACCCAGATGTTGTAGAACTACAACTCCCATGATGCTTTGTCATTCTAAATGCATTTTAAAGGCAAGCAAAGCATCATGGGAGTTGTAGTTCTACAACATCTGGGGATCTACCTGTTGGGCAGCCCTGCCCTAGGGGATGTCCTGTTATGTCGCTCCTTACATGCTGAGCTCTGCTGATAAGGGCCTAGCTTTTTCTGGTAGGTGGCTAGCTCCACACACCTCCCTACCCCCCTCCGTTGCCACCTCGCGGTAAAGGGGACAATAGCACACAGCCTAACATTCCTCTA